ACATGTATCAAGAAGTATGGAGATGGACGCATCAAGAGCAAAGCCGCCTGGGCTATCAACGGCCAGGGCGATATGGAGAAGCTGAGATCCAGTTTGGAAGCTCACAAATCAGCCCTGGAACTGGCTCTCGACATGATATCCTTATCTTTGACGAAAGATATCAAAACCGATACTACGGAAATCCGCAACGATACAGCAGCCATCAAAGACGACACAGCTTTGATCCTGCAGGAGATTGCGCAGCTTCAAGCTCGATTACCCGATACCGCTGCTGCTCCAAACGATTATATTCTTCAGAGGTTCCTCGAAGATATGGCGACATATACTGAGACGGCTCTCGATGCAGAAGTCGATCTTTGTGATCGCACGAGCTGTAGATCTTTACCGATACCCGATGAGCACAGCCAAAACTCACCCGTACATGTACAACATCATCTACCAATCGTAGCAGCAGAGGATCCAAGCACCTACGAAGCTAGCCTATTAGCCTTCAGAAAGAAGGTGCAACACCTTTCCTCTCCAAGACCACACAACTACGGTCGTGTTCAGCCTTCGAGACCAGAGAAAGATGTCCCTCAACGCCCAAAAGGACCCGGTCCCGTATCCTCTTATTCTGAGGTCTTCTACAAAAAAGAAGTTGCACCAGCTAATGATCCTCGAGTATCTCGTTCGAGCGCCCTAGCATCGAGTTCTAGAAATGAAGAAATGCAACATCAAATCACGCCTTCGCCCGTGGGAGTCCACCAAGACGACAGCCACAAACAATCTGCCCTTTCTGACTTCGCGCTACTGGACGACTTCGATCCTCTATGGCGAGAGCGCTATGGCGAATATCTCCACGATAAAGCGTTCTCAAATGACGCAGTCAGAGAGAATCAGGAGTTTGTTATCAGCCTCTTGAAAGAAGTCAAGGCGGAGACGCCATACTATCCACAACAAAATTACCCACCGCCGCCCATTGCCTATGTCCAGGCGGAGAGTGACCAAGGTCAACCGCTGCCATCAATACGTGCTCCCCAGCACACGAATCCCCTCAACGCGGCTTCTCTTGGATCGCCTCAACAATTGATTCCGTACATAGTACCAACTGACGGACCGATTCCGAGAGAAGAAGAAGATACTGCTACATCACTACCCAGGGCAAAATATTTGTCCCGTCAAGGAGAATACCATATCCAAAGATTTAGAGGCAATGTGGTCTTTGACCTTCCAGTACCCGACTGGATTCTTACTTGTCACTCTACCCCCCCAGATCGGAACGAATCTACTTATAGGAGAATCAGCTTCATCACTTGCCCGCCAGAAGAGTTTGCAGATCAGAATTATACATTAAGACCGGAGCTCTTTACTCGGCCGCGGCAAACGCAGTTTATCCTGGTCGTACAAGTAGACCCTAACGATACGGACTTTATATTGCGCTGGAATCTGATTCACGATTCTATTGCGTACGCTCAACAACAATCAAATGGGTTCTGGAAGCGTGTTATTGTACATTTACACTTAGCTTATGGAACGACATGGGGAGCCCGTAGCAGTGATCATCCATTAGATGTGCTGGAGTCTATTGGAGCAAAACAGATAATGAACACCAGAATCGCAAGAATAGACTCTCAGCCTTTTGGAGAGCCGATAGGGGAGGACACATCTGCGATCAGCGGGCATAGGGTTCATGCCATCATGTCAGAGGTAAGATTTATTTCACTGCTAGAGAGATTCAAAAACCTGTGCTTACCTTCAAAATAGTATACTGTCCAGCTATGCCCACTAGAGGATCCGCCCAGTACCGTGGCCACCACGGAAGTCCCAATCCAAGTTGTAATTACAACAGCTCGTGTTCCAGAAGGCTTATGCCATTATTGGCGCGATAGATACATCCCATGGACATGCGCCATAAACAAGGTCCTCAAAGCTGAACATGTCATAGATATGAACGTAATTTCCCACAATTCTATGTTGAAAAATGATTTCCTGTGGGAAATCTTGAGAATGGATAGGCATATCCCTTTCGTCAAGGATAAACCGCTTCCAGGCACTGATTTAGAAGTCTTGAGATTTGACAGCTTGATTGGTGAAATGCGAGCAAACGAAAATGGAGGACCCTGGGCAATCGAAAAGAAGCCAAGAAAACGGTGGGCTAGGTGGTTAAAGTGAATAATACTTTAGTATAAAGTTGAACTTGAGCGAATAAATGTGGCTCAAAAGATGAAAAGATGTACTCTCGCCCTTCTTCCCAGTACGCTGTATACGACACTCTCTCACACCTCGATCGATTTGAAAAGAAGCTTCTTGGAAGGATCTGGAATAGACTGCATCTTCAATCAGTACACAAAGTTGGCACTATTCATATTCGTTCATCGACTTACCATATGAGCAAATTCCATGTTAGGGTATCGTTCAGTAGCATCGCCCCCGTTCTTGACACCATACTGTAGCAATGCATGCGCCAGGATCATCTTGATCTCGTTTGCGGCGAAGAATCTTCCGGGGCATGCATGTCGACCGTACCCAAAAGTCAAACTGCTCTGGTTTACACTGACAAACTGATTGTTCGCCGCCTTCTCAACTGATCCGCCATCTTTGGCTTCAGTACGAAGTCTGTAGAACCTCAATGGGTCGAATTTGTCGGCGTGCGGGAAGATGTTGCTGTCGGAGCTGACTGCGACAGCAGGGATCTCTATTGTTACGCCTTCTGGGATAACCTGACCGTTGGAGAGAGTAAATGGTTTGAGGACCTTGCGCTGGAAGGAAGCTATAAGATATTTGTTGGTAAGTTTATCTTGAGACTATTAGTCTGTGACTTACCCATTGTTGCAGGATGGACTCGAAGTGTCTCCTTGAGAAAGCTATCCATCTTCTTCATCGACTGCAGGGCGTTGCTCGTGAACTGGCCACCGCTCTGCGATAATGCCTCTCGGACCTCTTCTCGAAGTTCTATCTGCAAGTCCGGTAAAGCTGCCAAGTCGTAGAATCTGATTCTGTGTAAGAGGCATAGTAAACGGGTATAGGGAAGCGGGATCACTCACGCATTTGTGGCTGTTAGTGTTGTGGTGTGAACAGCTGCAAAGGTAAGACCCAGTTGGACCTTGGCGAGGTTCTGGCTATTTTTGTCAGGAAACTTGTCCTTTCCAACAATGAGCCACTGTAGGAAATCATCTGGCTTCTCATATGATGGATCATTCATTGCATCAGTTCTTGATTTGACCACAGGCTCGAGGAAAGCTTCGGCTTCTGCGATTCGCTGATACAGCTTCTTTACCTCGGGAAGACTTTGGGCGCGGAAGGGACGTAGCCAAGGGCGCATGTTCTGCACGGCACGCTGGGCGCCCATGACTTCCATGGTGTAGTTGATAGCTGCATCGAGATATTGTTCGGAGCGGCAGAGTTCAGGACCGATGAACATGCGGCCTGATACCATGCCTATGATACGAAGGAGGGCGTGATGAATATTGACCTCAGTCCAGTCGTCGCATGGTGGCATGGTGAGATTCATTGAATCTCTGACTTCGCTCGAGATGGTCAAACTAAGTCGAGCTAGGCATTGTCAGAGCGGCTTAATACCTCTCACAGGCTACTTCCATGGAATCAACTGCCTTTGAGATGTCCTTTGGGAACTTACATAAAGATGGAGTCAATTCTCCTTTGATTGTGTGCGGAATGATGGGTACTGATGTCTCAATTTTGGTGTATTTGGTCTCCATTGACTATTGATATGGTCAGATGCATAAGAACGTCTTGCCATGGAGCCTACGAACCTCATCAACAGCAGCCTCCATGCTTAGAGTAGCATCGGGCAGCTTCTTGAGCTCAGGGAGAAAGTCAGGTGAGATGACGATGGTGGGAGAAGCTAGAAATATTAGCTTGATGGGACTTGTGATACTAGGCAATAGATATATACTTCGCGATGTAGTTATGAGAAAAACGCCATCTTTGAACTGGAAGATAATGAGCTTTGATTTTACGACGAACCAATGGGTGTTCTTACCTTCTGGTACCCTGCTGAGTAAAGTTTCCTTGCACCTCCCAAGTACGCTTGCCTACGCGTTTCAGTGTTGCCAAGCTCCTTGCCAATGGTAGGGATGGTCCATAGTCGGATTGAGTTGACAACTCTTGGAGCGAAAGCAGCCGCAAAGCAGGCAAGTAGTGCTGTGACGAGTAGTGGCCATCGATGGGCTACAAGGTCGAGGAAGGATTGTGCGTCGCTCATCGTGAATGATTATGGTTTGAAGTGGTTAAGAAAGATGGTTGTGGATATGATTGCTTATGACTTAGGCCTTGGATGTTGGTAGATATGGATATTTCCGAGCCAGTCCACATACTTGAGTTGCGAGACATGACTATTAATACTAACAGCCACGACATCAAACTACGAGAACACGCGGCCAAGATCCGAAAATACATCCAGTCTTCGGGAAGTTATTCATTACCGTCTAGCCCCTGCGTCATGATCGACACTACTACCGCGTAATAAGAACAACCCGATTCGCTTTTCCATTCTGCTGTAACACAAGAGAAGGTGTGATAGCCACAAGCTCTACTGAAAAGAGTAAGCGATCTCATGACACAGCTGCGGGTACGCGTACAGCTGTCTGGGCTTAGAACATCCCCTCTATTGCATTGCCTCAAAGCATGGATATGTTAGCGGCCTCATCACGGCATATAATCTGAGTGCCTAGCTTAAATTAGTTTGCTTCATATGCCCTTTGAGCCATTGCGTGGATGGTCTATACTTAGTTGTGATATACATTTAAGCTCGTGGGGCGTGATCGACACCGAGACCGAAACCGAGAGCGACAAGAATGCAACCACAATCTGGTTCACAAGCACCAATACAAAAAGCCAAGAGTTGCCGATCCCTCAGGAGTGTGACTCGACATAGTCATTTCAGCTATGGGTCAGAGATCGCCCAACTTAGCCATAAGCTACAGCTACGATTCTGCCATTGACCGATGAGTGAAGGCGACGGTTCTAGTGCCAGAATTCTCAGTTCACATTTGCAGTATCTATGGCCATTCTATCAACTGTTGTACATCACCTGTTTCCAGTTTGGGAAGCCAACTCTGCCAATACGCAGCTAAAAGGTCCGAGATACCCTCTACCAAACGTTTTCCGATGTCACCCAGACACCAAAAAGCACGAAACCGGTGCAGCAAAACCGCATAATGAGCTAGAATGACCAGAGCCTCGGGAATTTGCTTCTCCAAAAGCATCAAAAATCGCCACGGGATCAAGTTCGACCAAGCCATCAAGCCATGTACTCCCCAGCTGTTGAGCCCTTGAATACGACGCATCACAAACCCCAGAGCCTCAGTCGCCTCCTCACAGGTTTTTCTAGATTCTTCGTTGAGTTCAGATGTTTCGAGCATTGAAGCCAGTAATGCATAATCCGCTGAAGCGACATAAGAGTCATTGAATTCTTCTTTCCATGCATGCATCATCCATTGAGATACCTTGGAGCTCACAAAGCTTGTGCTCGCTCTCTCACCCATGACTCTAGCTCCACGATGAAGTCTGAAATAATTCACCGTGCAGTCGAGAGTTGTGGCAAAGTCTTGGTCAGCTAGACCTGCCACAGTCTCTGCGAGATAGTGCAGTGCTAAGAGGGAGGCGAAGAAGAATTGAGCTGTTGAGTTTGATTCGGATGTATCGTCGAGACACTTGTTGAAACCACGGAGAGCTCGATGGCGGAGGTGTGTCGCGGTGTTCGTATAAGACTCGGCCGCGTGTTGGTCGATAGTCCTGAGGTACATCGCAGATAAAGCGAGAAGCTGATTCATTAGATAGGGTGTTTTTAATGCCGTGGGTATGTAGCCGTTGGCGAGTGGCTGAAGCCGGTCCGTCACCATCATCCAGTCAGCCATATTCGTTTGAACATGGTAGAGCAGATTCAAATTGCCAAAGGTAAAGAGGTCATCGGACTCGATCTCATGTAAGTCTGGTGGTGAGGGAACTGGCAAGTCTTCAAATACACTGGCTGCTGGGAAAGCAGATGACGTTGTAAGTTCTGTTTCGTACGGAGAAGAGCCAGTTTTCCGTTTCCGCGGCGGTTCGTAGTGGCATGTCCTCTCAGAAATGGAGCAGTTACCACATTCTGGTCGCTAGCGCCAGGATTCTTAGCAAACTGTTGAAATATTCTTGCAAGAACGGAAGAATAGCTACCTTTTCATCACACTTTATGTGACGCTTCTTGCAAGTAGCGCATCCATTACGGGACTTGCGATGACCTTGACGGACTTTCTTAGGGTTAGGTTGCATTTTGATTCTTGGATGACCGACACGAGATTCGTACACGTGGAAACTGGTCGACAGAGGAAAAAAAGCGAGGCAATAATGCGAGTATAGAAAGGAACTTACAAGGAGGGAGAGTAACGAGTACACGAGAATGCAAAAGGATTATGCATGGGGCAGATTTGAACCCACAGTCTATTCCCGATTTGGTTTATTTCCGCGTATTCCACCGCGAGTCAGGTGGTCTAGTCCCCTTCTAGTTAGAAATACGAGCACTAAGAGCGACTACGAGTATAATTGCTTTTTCCTTCAGTTAGTGGGCCAGTTGCTTGAATGTTTCACATCTGAGCCCCAGTCTCCGTGCTGCGATCAGTAAGTATAGTAGCAGTAGAGCGGTCACTCTTGAAAATTAGTTAGTGAGCACACATCCTGTTTCTTTTGCGGATGTGATCTACGGATGTCTTACAGAATCATGCTTGGCTACACTTGTTGAGCTTATCGTCTGTGCCATAGACATGCTATTGCGTGTCAGAGGTCCCTGCGCGCATTGCAAGCCCTGTTTCCCTTTCATGGTTGGATAGTGTCAACAACTCTGCGTAGGCCTATCACGATACACACTTCTCAGGGTAGCCAGCAGAGCGTGTAAGCTAGAGCAGGTCAGTCATATCAATCCCCACTCCCCAGCTCTTGAAGCGCAAAAGGTGATTGGCTGCACCAACTGCCAATCACGCTATTTACGCTGAACACGCCCAATACGCCGTACATGACGCTAAAACAAAGTTGCATATAGAAAGAGGCCATCTGCGTGCGTTGGTCAAGTGGGAATGATGGGATCAAATTTTATATTGCGAACAAGAAGAAGGATATATAAGGGGAAGATTGGCAATTGAATCTTCACTTTGACATTTCGAAGTCACACTACTATATCTTGACATTGTTTGCTCTTCGACCATGTCTGCTGCTACCTTCAAACAGTATTGGCTACCAGAGAAGAAAGGGTTTGACTCCCTACAATTGAGAGCCGTTCCAAAGGAGTTACCTCAGTTTGGCCAGGTCTTGGTCCGCATCAAAGCTGTCTCTCTGAACTGGCGAGACGGCATCGTAGCCATCGGCACTTATCCGTTTCCCGGCCCCGATGCCCTAGTTCCCGGAAGTGATGGTGCTGGTAAGCGACCACTAGCAGCAACCCCCAAGGCACGGCACCAACTAATGATTTTCAAAAGGCATCGTCGAAGCGTTTGGGGAGGGCGTGACTGAGTGGAAAATCGGCGATCGTGTAATCGCCAACTTCACACAAGAACACATCGCTGGTCGTCTCACTCGAGATGTTGGCCTGACCCAGTTGGGTGGTGAAGCACAGGGTCTTCTAGGGGAGTACTTCATCTTTCCAAAGATGGGCGTGGTCAAAATTCCCGACTACTTGTCCTTCGAAGAGGCTTCTTGTCTTCCATGCGCCGCTTTGACAGCTTGGAACGCCCTGTATGGACTGACTCCTCTGCGACCTGGCCAGACCGTTCTTCTGCAAGGCACCGGAGGCGTTGCCACCTTTGCGCTGCAGATAGCACACGCTGCAGGAGCCAAGACGATTGTGACTTCGTCATCCGACGATAAATTGGCCAAAGCAAAAGATCTTGGTGCGACGCATGGAATAAACTATAACAAGACTCCCGACTGGGCTGCAGAAGCCATGAAGATCACAAATGGCAAGGGCGTCGATCATATCATCGAAATAGGAGGAACCTTGACGCTTCAAGCATCTTTCGATGCGATTGGATTCAATGGCCAGATTCACTGCATTGGACACATCACTAATCCGGATCCATTGGGCGCTGGTAAAGACCTTCGAGGTCCTGATGCAGCTTTCCTCGCGTTGGACCGTCTCTGTGTTGTTCGAGGTGTCGTGGTTGGATCACGAGAGCAGCTGCGGGATATGTTGGACTGTTTTGAAGCGAATGAGATTCGACCAGTGATTGACCGCGTGTTTTCTTTTGAGAATGCTCGGGAGGCGTATGATCACCTTTGGAGCTCCACGCATACAGGAAAGGTTATTATCCGGGTTCCATAGATGTTTGGCGTAGTAGCTCTCTGTTGATAGATAAGTGAAAGTAACTTATTGTTTATTGCGTGTGACAGGATCCGCAACTGGATAACGAGGTTTTCAGTTTCTTTGTAAAGCCCGACATGCTCATTGTCCTCGGTTGGTGTAGATGGGTGAAGGCCTCATAGGGATGACTAACGAATCATGGTGAGAAGCTCCCGTCACTCCACGGGTGCACATTCTTCCGACCCTCGCCGCCACATTTCCTTCATGGCGTCAACCAGTCATCTCAAACTTGACGTTTACCCATGATGGAGGTAGATAAGCCAAAGAAGAGAAAAGGGTCAAAGCATGACAAGACAGGCTGCTTGACCTGTCGTTATAGGTAATTACCAGCTCAGACAAAAACCCTTCGAGTTGTTCTCACCACGTACGCAGACGGAAGAAATGCACCGAGAATATATATCCCAATTGTGGAACGTGCATTCGATTGAACTTGGAATGCATTCGAGATCCCATTCGTCGTATCGTCCCACGTCCTGGCCACGAAAATAAGCAACCGCAGTTGGCTCAGCATCAACCGACTCTGACTACGCAACTGGCTCCGTTACCGCTGAACCTGAACTCTCCCAAGAGACGCCAGGCGATGAATCACTACATCACCGTCCTCTCAGAACTCTTGACTATAAGTAAGAGCAATAACTCATTTCTATCTGGTATGTCTCGTCTGGTTATATCCTGATAACTCTGGAACTAAAATCTCAAGACTTTCTTCCTCTGGCTATGGAGTCACCAGCACTCGCTGAAGCCCTCATTGCATACTCTTCTGGCCACATGTCGCATTCGGACCCAAGCTATACTACCGTATCCCTCGCAGCACGGTCTAGAGCCTTATGTGAACTGTCAATGACGATCAGCCGGCCGGACCAAACTGCCTCAGTCACTGAAACCGCATTGTCCGCTTGTCTCATTCTCTTGACGTCCGAAGTGTGTTTGGGAAGTCACCAGAGCTGGTACAACCACCTTGTCGGCGCCAAACATCTCATTGCGTGTGCTCAAAGCCAGGCTGATGGGTCGCTTGTGAAGGGAGCTCAGGCACTGAGGTTGACATCAGAGGGGCAATGGATTCTGCGCAACTTTGCGTACCACGATATCATCGGTAGTGTGACACTGGGAACAAAACCTTTGCTTTTTCCTGACTATCTGAGGGATATTACACATGAGTTTGATACGTACTTGGGTGTTGCCTCACAGATTCTTGTCTATATAGGCCAAACAACCTATTTGGATCCCAGCACGACCGATGTTGAGATAGACATTCGCCCTTCAAGGAATTACCTTAGCGTCGAGCATGATATCGAAACCTGGACCTGTCCTGCTGGAACTCCACCAACCCTCCAAGCTGCAGCCTATGCATACCGCGGTGCTGCGCTAATCTATCTCTACCGACAAATGCGCCGTCATCTTGAAGCAGATCCTGATTCTTTTCTCGCCTGTGGGACGTCATTGCATACAGTGAATGATAAACTTCAGATGGCCGTGGAGAATACTTTGGGTAGTATTGGGCAAGTACCCGAGAACGACGTTTCGGAGTCCTCGCTGCTGTTTCCTCTGTTTATTGTTGGAGGCGAAGTCGAACGTACTGATCAAATGGAATTTGTTCGAGCAAGGTTACAAGTGTCATACAACAAGAGAAAATTTCGTAATATTTCGCGAGCATTAGAAGTTCTAGAGGAGCTGTGGGTTTATCGCCAGATTCAGGATGTCTTGGGCGGGAACCGACCTGATTGGGAGGTTATTTTGAAGTCTAGCTCAGAGCCACTACTTCTGACATGAGGGAACCTCCGCCAAGCTATTGATTGATAGGATCACTAAGTAACGTCATCTACAAACATCGCTTTGCCATGTCCCCCTTTTGACTCAGCCGTTGTAATACGCCATAAGGTGACGAAAAGAACGTATCATCATTGACCTATCGAAAATATAGTACTTCTTCCTGAGTTGCTCCCTTTTGGCATCTTTCAATTTTCTCTCCTTCCATAAGCCCATAAATATCCGACTCGCCCACAAGATTCCAATACTTGCCACAAGCTTGTATTATATAGGGGACACCAATCATCGCTGAGTGGTGTGAGCGAAAGGAATAGTCCTATGATCGGTGCCATTGTTGTATCGAGGCCATCCGATATTCGTTTGTGACTTGATGAGTCAAAATTGAACTGACAGACATGTGTCACTTTCGCCCATGGATGTTGTTTTTGGACGATAGCGTAGATATCGGCTTCCAGGTTCCATACAATATGAATTGATGGCAATCGTGCTGCTCAGAGCCATATCAGGGTTCTGGTAGACTGACTGTAGTCTAAATCTTTCACATCATGGCGATTTGTTGTGATCGCTCGTGCACATCTCGTTGATTGATGCAGATGCTGTTGATCTATATGTGAGTGGTCTGAGGGTCGAGGTCACTGTTTCCAACAGCGAATCTCTACAGGCGTCGAAAACAAATCGCAAGATGATGGGAGAGCAGTATTTGGTTGCTATGTGGTATGACCTTCACAGAGACACCTGGAACCCAAGCATGACTAACAGCATAATATGGTGGACCATTGGCGAACACGGTCTCCTTCAACTGCACAGAAATAGGGCTGTCAAGGTCTGTGCCAAGGCGCAATAATCGAATTTGAGCGAGTGACAAAGAGCCATATGTACCTTCGACTACGGTAGTCATTATTTAGTTACTTTGTAGATAGATATTGAGGTCAAATCGACTTAAGCTGTAAGTTTGCTGTACTGTTAGGTCAAAGCGCCCTCACTCTACAACTACGACTCAGCTGCTGACAGACGGAAAAGACCAAAATGGCTTAGTGACGGCGATGGCAGGGAAAGTAAGGATAGGTTTATTTATTGGCATTGAGTAGTTGTATATTCTTTTCCACCATTAGATAGAATTAACTTGGATATAAAGTCTTGATTCCATCCTCGTAGCGACATGCTTGTCCCTGTAATCTACCCAATATTAAGCACCAGCCTCACCAGTCTGTCACCTGTGTATGTCAGAAAACACATGGGACGAGGTCATCATCTCCGCAAACCGCCCCACATGTAAACCATCCCCCGCTTCAGCCATGCCATCGCGTCTTGTACACTTCAATTCAATTTCAAGCTCACTTCAGTGCACATAGTTACCATATCTAACAAGATTCATCACCAAGCTTCAGGATCTAAAATGGCAGCCAAAACCCCTCACGTCCCCCACATTCATCTCCTCTGCATGGAAGAACAATTCAGCGATGCCTTCAATGTCGCCCGCAAGAGCCGCAAACTGCCCGACTCTGTCTCAGTCGAGATACACAACTGCGCTCTATCCCAGCTCTCGAGCAAAGTCAAATTCGACACGGTCGTCTCACCCGCCAATTCCTACGGCCGTCTTGACGGCGCTTTTGATGACGCGATTTCTCGGCAATTCTCACCACGCGATGATTACCATGCTCTTACTGGCGTTGCTCAAGCTCAGCTGTACAAGACGTGGCGTGGATTTGCACCACCAGGGACATGTACTTTGGTAGAAATTCCAAAGGAGTTTGAAGAAAGATCACGGAATGTTTATGGGACACGTCGTGTTGCGCTTTGTCCGACGATGCGGATGCCTGCTGACGTGAGATGGGACAAAGAGGTTGTGTATGAGTGTATCTGGAGTTTACTATGTGCGATTGACAACCACAATCGCGCGGGGTCTGAATGTGATCAGATCCAGAGTGTTCTCATGACTCCATTGGCAACAGGTGTTGGAAGGGTGAGTCCGGAGAAATGGGCCTTACAGACTGTTCTGGCCATGAAGCATTTTGTCGAGGCATCTGAAAATCCGGAGAAATGGAGTTCTTTGCAGTGGGCTGATCTCGGCAGAACTTGTGCTGAGACACAACTTGCGTGGACAAAGTAGCGACTTTCCAGTTATGCATATTACTCTATTGCTTCTTCATATCAACAATTTTCTATCGTCTTGGTCCTTATGCTAACACCAAATAAGCAAGGAAAACCCTGGAGCTTCAACAGAGACCTATGGATGATAGCTTAAATCCTCCCAGAGAACTTGAGAAGTAACTACAGTCCTTTTGCCTACGAACTATACCACTGGGCCGGGCCAACTCCACCATATCTCGGTAAAGGCAATATCATGATAAGGAAGGGTATCAAATCTACCCTTCCAGTTACAACTGGAACATGGCAATGTGTTGTTCGCTTCACCATTTTCCAAAGCTTGATGTTGACAAGGTGCGAAAAGGCAATGAGGATGTATTTGCCGATGCGGATACGAGTGCTCACGAAGCACCCGCCCATTGATATGGCGAAAGCATTCCGAGCATTTCCAGGCTCTGACTAAAAAACAAGACGGTTCATTATTGTAACGCCATTCCAGCTTGCTAGAGCGTGATGCCCCGAGAGTCTTGATGACCTCGTCGAGCTGTTCATCCTCAACGTCCCACGAGGTATTGTTGTTCTGCAAGCATGCACCAAAAGATACCCTCAAAAGTGGTTTTAGAAGTTCTGACAAGGAGTTTGCTGCAACTTGGGGAGATGCCTGCCAGCCTTCAGGAGAGAAATTGAAGTGTTTCTTAAATATGGACACAAAATCCCACACTTCACCCTCGCTAGAACCTGTGTTGATGGTGTCAGTACTGATAATTTGTGTGGACAGCTATTCTTACGATCCGCAGTGGCTTTCCCAATGATTTTGAACAGACATGAGAGCATGGAAAGTATGACTCTGAAGGATGGGTAGCTCTCAACACTATGACCTGCTCTGAAGAGACGTAAACACTCCGTGACTGTATTTTGGAAGTCCCCTAAGTACCTCGATCCACAGAGGTAGATCTCATTAGCGCGGCTATCGTGTAATTCCTGGTAGAATTTGTCGAGTCGTAACGTGGATAGAGCCTCAATGGAGTCAAGATATTGACGGCCATGGGCTGATACAGGGACATCCAAGCCCCAAGATGAAAGCTCGAAGCAAGAAGCGTGCCATTTGACGTTTTGGTCGCGCCTTTCGTTGTATCTTGCCACAATTGGAAACTTGCAGGCATGGCAGTAATTTTTAACTTCTCGACAGAAGTGTAGCAAGCAGTAAATACCGCCGTTGTGTTGATGAGAATCAATTTCCTGGGCGAATACAATGTCGCATTGATCACACGTAAAGTGGTGTGGGTGGTACCAACGGTTAAGGGCTGTTATGGAGTCACCTGAAATAGTCTCGTGGCACTTGAAGCACTTAACATCCCGTCGTCGAACATAGTCTCCCTCGCATATTAGCTTTGAAGGAACGTCATTGCCTTCAGTTGATGGATGATGGTCATTTTCAAGAGACTTTCCACAATCCTAAATCATTGGCGTCAGTTGAGATATTTCGAGCATGGAGTTTTGTACTTGCAATGGAGTTGAAACATTCGACATGCCACGACTTTTCTAACACTCTCACTCCATAACTTGTGATAATCTTACAACAGCCAGAGCAAGTCGATGTGTCGACAATTGGCAAAGCTCTGGGCTCGTAACCACCGTCTGAGCAATTATCAACCTTTTCCATTTCGAACGTCGATCCCACTAAACCTTTAGCGAATACCATTGCCTTGTCTCTAGAGACTCTCAACAAAGAGATGGAATTCTTATGAGACAGCGCTGGAACTTTATCCGACCCTCTGACCGTCCCCGTGTCAGAGTCCACCTCCTCGATTTCGGGTTGCTTGGTCTCAGCTTGAGCTTTGATGAAGACGCGTCTGTATGCTTGACTATTAACAATGAGATCATCGAATTCAAAATCGAGCTCAGAAGGTGCATTGCCGGAGACAGCTTCCACGTGAAAGAAACTGAGATTCGCAGCATTGTTGTCGAAAATTGACTCGGACTCCATCTTGACGCTCGGTTCGTAGGATCGCAGGGACTGGGCTTCTGAAGCAGCAGCCTTTATCTTCGGTGCATTCTTCCGGATGTCCTTTTGGATATTGGACAAAGTCTCGCTGCTTCTGAAGCAGCAGCCTTTATCTTCGGTGCATTCTTCCGGATGTCCTTTTGGATATTGGACAAAGTCTCGCTGCTTCTATCAGTATGGAGATGGTTATGAAGATTCGTTAGACTTACAGTTCGAGGAGGTTCAAAAGAAAGGTTATGGATGATTGCTGCGCCCTGAGAGCGCCCAAAAGTTCTTTTAGACGGTCTTGATTCCAAATAAATTTAATCTTAGCCCAAACCCCTGGATTCTTTGATCGAAGACTTCGCGTTTCTGCTTCAAGGCAGCTGAACACAACCATGCATCCAGTCAGAGCTGTTTCAAAAGCCGTCCAGATTTCTGTCTTTGAAGCCCAAGCTTGAGCCAGGTCGTCTCTTCGCAGAATCTTCATTTGAAGTTCTGATAAGCCGATACTAATTATGGTTGACTCGGAACATATCATCGCTATGACGGCCGGAACGTCCTGATATTCCCCTGCGAGATCATGAAGCTTCTTGCAGGTTGAAAGGCATGTCGCTGTCAATCCCACCTAAGCAGGGATTAGCTTCTTGCGGTTACGAATACTTGTAGCGCTACTTACCACCGAGCTCGCGATAGACAAGGGATCCATCGTAAAATGTTCAATGTCTGGTTCCAATCATAAATACTCTGAGATCGACATGATAGATAGGACAATAGGGTCGTCCAAATTAGGGGTTACGTGTTTTTGTCGAAACGAGGCTGCCAGAGAGAGCCTAGAGAGCTGAGCTGATGGTGTGCACAGCCTCATCATACAGCCCCAAATTCCAAAGTGGCTGCCAAGGCTGACTGAGGTTGCCGTAATTGACATAAGGATTAATGAGTATTCCCTACGTAAATACTGGGTAAAAATGAAGCTGCTATGCCTGAAGATATTTATCTCAGCGTAACTAGAACCCTTATTCGTTGTTGCTATCAACGATGACCTGAGTGATGACAACTTTTATCTCCATTCCAGGATATGCCGCAAGATAGGGCTCAGTCACCCGACCATCCCCATCACTATCCTTTACCTTAAACCGATCTGTCAAAGTTATGTTATTCCCTTGTCTAGTAGCAATCTAAAGGCCTATTTTTGTAGAATCCGATTCCACGACACCAGCCCTAAACCCTCCCGTGGCCAGAGCATCAGGTCCCTGGCAAACAATAAGTTTTAGGTTGAGGTTCTCCTTGTCGACCTACTCACTATGGCGAAATAAGATCGATGAGTCTCACCTAAATGTGCCGAGAAAGAAAGGCCGGTAGATGCCGCGAATCGATCGTTATACGCAGTGAATGTCATTTGTCCATATAGGCCCACCAGATTAGGTGCTGTCAAGTACTTTCCCGCATTGAAATAGCTATCCTCGAGACGTATGTCGAACTGGGTAGCGTTTTGAATGGTGCATTGATACCAGCGATGCTTATCTCTGATGTCGTTTGGAAGACGAGGGGTTATCGCATTCAGAGTCTATAGAAAGTGAGTCAAAAACAACTCTATACGGATCCATTGCTGTATACGTCTTTTAGTTTTGCAGCCAACTTCATCGGAGGATCAAGAATAGTGTTGATATCGATAATAGCCATCTTGGGTGTTAGAGAGTGGATCTGAAGTATGTTGACGATTTGTGGAGGAAGTTGAGAAGCGGAGGAATAAATACCCTCACATATAGTATTTCGACCTTTATTTATACCTCTTGGGCTTCTGAAGTCTTTGCATCTAGATATTTGATCTATATGAACTATTGGACTTTAAGTTCTTAAGCGCCATGGAAGAATGCGGGGTCAAATCAGGATGATTATCACTTATCCCAAGAACTTTCCTTCTGGAAAGGTAAATATAGAAATTGAGTATCTCAAAATGGACGGCTATAATATTCTTTATCGTTATGCTGGGGCTCGGTGTATTCTGATTCAGTTGTAGTGTCTTTCAGACGTTTTAATAAAACTCGCAAGATCTCTCATTGGGCTGAAGCGCACTGGAAATGAAACCAAGACTAGTGACGAACTATCATTTTATTATCAGCCGGAGACGTATATTGACGAACGGGAGTTAGCTAAGTAGTTGGCTATCATTCGACAGTAGCTAGTCGGCTATCGAACGGTAGCTCCCGGCAAAAAGGCCTAGCCTGATGATTCGCTTTCGTCTTCTAGACGTGTTTGCAGGTCACTGTGAGAGCAACTTTTAGTAAACAAGTAAGTTACTGAACATAGAATATCCCATGATGCATAAAAAGACTCTCCTTTGGGCTGATACGTATACTGCTCGGAATTAACTGATACTTGGCAGCCAAAAGGATTAGAGCCAAGGGTTCAAAGTGGGGGCTCAATAAGGTCGATGATTGGCTAGCTCGCATTTTAATGCCCCTGATTGGGTGTCCAACCACTCGACCCATATGAAGTTCTTACTTTGTGATGGAGCACTACTCGTTGAAATGCGAGACTCCTTGCTTCTCGGGTCACTGGGATTCCTAAGTCCGGAGGCTTCACACATATTTAAACTCGGGTATGGTCACGGACCTCTCGAAATAATGTTTCTATATCACCTCGCACAAAGACGAAAGCAGTATTATCAAAGACCCCACTTCCAACCAGAATGTCTACCACTACGACATACCCCTTCGACCCGACCACAGATATCCCTTCCCTTACCGGGAAAGTGATCTTTATCACCGGCGCAAACACTGGCCTTGGAGAAGCCACTGCCATTGAACTGACCAAGCATTCTCCTGCTCATGTGTACATCACCTCCCGCGACTCCGCCAAGGGGAATGCTGCACTAGAAGAAGTCAGGAAGACAGCTAGTGAAAGCACCAAGGTCTCTCTGCTAGAGCTCGATCTCTCCAGTTTCGAAAGCATCAAGTCTGCAGCTGCCGAGTTCCTCAAGCGTGAGGACAGACTCGACGTCCTCTTGCTGAATGCCGGAGTCATGGGCGTCCCGCCCGTACTAACTAAGGATGGATACGAGATGCATATGGGAATCAACCATCTTGGTCATGCTTTGCTTCTCAAGCTTCTCAAACCAGTCCTTGACAAGACTCCGGATGCTCGTGCTGTGCATCTCAGCTCTGCCGGATTCCGCCACGTGGGACCGGCAGGCATCGAGTTTGAAACCCTGAAGTCAGCTAAGAGCGAAACGGCTTTACCTTTCCGATACGCTCAGAGCAAGCTCGCTTGTCTGTTGTACGCCAGAGAAGCAGCCAAGCGATACCCCGGTTTCAAGAACATCGCCATCAACCCAGGCGAGGTTCAGACGGAGCTTTTTACTCGTGAGGCAGGAGATGACTTGATGAAACACCTACAAGATAATGTGGCCTCTAAAGTCGCGATTCCCATTTCAGAGGGTGTCAAGACTCATCTTTGGGCTACTACGTCACCTGATATTGAGAATGGAGAATTTTATGAGCCTGTTGGAAAGACGGGTGGGTTAGAGGGACATGGGCTGGATGATGAGATGGCGAAGAAGCTTTGGGATTGGACAGACGAGCAGCTGAAAGACCAGGTCCTGTAGTTTAGTGCTATTTCAGCCCTGTCGCCCAATCATGCATGGAATGACAGCTAGACCGGTCGGTGTGAACTCTTACCGACTGCATGCATGTCTTTACCGTTGAGAGTCTCCACATCTGTGTAACAGTACCACAGCCCACTAAAATGTCTTTGCATTCCTAGCTCAATGATCCAATTTGAATCTTTCGTTCCGACCAAGATCACCTCTGGCTCCTTTTTCCATCCTTAATACACTTTTCAACGAGCCCTATTTCTTTTTTTCCCTTACAACAATGTCAGATGCGCTCTCAGTAGTCGGGAGTGCCGTTGGCATCATATCGCTCGGTATCCAAGTCTGTCAAGGTCTGGTATCATATCTCCAATCCTTCAAAAGTCAGGACCAAGAAATACAGGATAGCATCAAGGAGGCTCAGACAATAGTCTCGCTTTTCAATTCGTTGAAAGACGTACTACTAAGACTCGACCAACACTCTGCAGGAGTGATTGCAGTTGTCGATTGTTTGAACGACTGTGAGAAGAAGCTGCGTGAGTTGCAGCTCTTTCTCCTCAAGCTCCAGAAGTCATCAGAGCCGACTAAGAACACAAGACAAAAGATAAAGGACGCTAGACATTCGTTCGCTTATCCCTTCCTCGAGGGCAAATTGTTATCGCTGCGTCAGTCCTTGCAAAAGTTGCTACAAAACTTGGACCTTGCTGTGAACATCGCTTCATTGTATGTATTCTCTACTTCAATTTGACCCGCTCGATGCTCATAGCTGTATCAGTGATCTTATGACTCAAATGTGCCATCAGCTTCACGGCGTCAATGGTGCCGTGCAAAGTCAAGGACTACACATAGCTCAAACTTCAGATCATCTTCTCGCCCTGGATAAGGCGGTAGCTATCAGATTTCGACATGCTGAAGAGATCCTTTCTCAATTCACTATTGCTGCGCAAGATCTTCGACAGGAAATTGTAGCCCAGACCACGGTAGCTGCAAGCAGTTTGAGCCAAATGATGTCCCGCAATCAGCATCTTCAAGAGGAGCTTAACGAACGCTTGGGAAGATGTTTGGAAGAAATGGTAAGAGATAGAGGTTATGCAAAAAACGTGTTGGGCTCATATATTGTATGGATATCTTTTTTCCAGTCTCTCATATCCTCTGACACTAGCATATCTAGGGCCTCGAGACGACTGCCATCGACAGTTCTGTAACAAGAACTCTACAAGCCTCCAAGAACTCGACAACCCCAAGGGCCACCATAAGAGAGCTGCCTGGATGCCACTGTAAGCTCAACAATAGACCATGGAAATATTCTGTGCAGTTTTGGAACATCAAGATTGAGTACGAAGAACGTAGCTTAGAGAGACATAAGCGAGGCTGCAGGTATTTCGGCATCAGCTGTGAGATGAGAAGAACAGACGTACAGATACCGCTAAAGGTCGCCTGGTTTTCTTCACGATTCATACTAGCTTGCATTCAGTATTCTCATGGGACTGCTAGCCCTGGGCTGGCAATTCGATATCAAAATGTTGTTCCCCAAAAGCACAGCGCCGTATTCGAGGAATTGTCCAAACTTCACTTCGGTTTCTTGTTTCGAGACCGCGATCCTTCAGGTTCTGATATCGCCTCGGCTGTTGAAAACACTGAGCGTGCCATACTTTCTCTCTATAGAGATGGTAAAGCTTCTCCTTCAGATCGGGACGAATACGGATGCAATCAAGCTGAGGTAAGTAAGATAAAGTCTTGACTCTGAACAACATTCCCTAAGTTCTGAATAGATCGCATGTGGCCTCATGACGTTATTTTATAACGAAGTAATGAATTCCAGCGTCGCCAATACAACGCGGACTGTGGCTGTAATGGCAGCCATAAGACTTATTAAAATAATCTCTAGCGTTGTTGGAGCTGAAGGTGTAAATATGTAAGGAAAACCCTATACCAACTCGAATTAACATGTAAGCGCTGATTGGGTTATTGTGCGACAGAGGGGCAACCAACATGGCCGTCCTGCTACGAAATCAAGAGCACGAGTGGATCAGACTCTATGCAACATTCGACTTGAGCTGGCAGGACATCATACAGAGAGCTTTGCGCAGCAAGTACATTCGACTGAGTAGTCTATGGCCTTTGATATGCGATAGTGGGCAATGTAAGACTTCACCTTACGATATTTCTGAAATAGAATTAATCCCTTAGTGTAGACTGCGAAACTCCTCTTCTTATACAAGCAATAATCCAGGAATCGGAAGATTTACTTAAGCTTCATCTTTTGAAGAACCAGACAGGACTAAGCCACGTCTTTCACGGCTTTACGCCTTTTCAGCTTTGCATTCAGTGGTCTAGGGGGATTGAAATGCTACTCAGTAGCAAGATCAACAGTCCCCTTGATGAGGATGCTCTGTCGCTGGCCGTATACTCTGATCGTCCTGATTCGGTTAAAGTCTTTCTCGAAGCTGGATGCCCGATGGAATATGGATGTAAGACAAGAAACATATTCCATATAACTTCCAAGAGATGCCTGGCTTTCATTGCATCAAACCTGGTTGCAAGGAGGCAAGCACTGCTTCTATTAGCACAGAAACAGCTGGGAATCTTGTATGATCTTGATCACCCCACTGATCTACCAGAGGACCAAGCCAGCCGTATCTGTGCCAGCCTTGACAAATCCGGAATCCTAGTCCCTCCAGCTCTTCGAGTTCCACCAACTTACTCGACCATCTATCATTTCAGTGGGACCTTACTGCATCATTATCGTACTCTATACGATCACGGTTTTGATCGGCTGTCATCGCGAAATTCTGTTGGGCTAACGTTCGTGATGAGAGAGCGCTTTCTACATCCAGCATCGACGTGGTTGTGTAACAAGAGCCAGATTCTTGACATCATGACTTGGTTGGACTCAAAAGGGATATTTGATGAAATGGTGACGGATCCACTGGGCCTTAGGCTGAATATCCAGGCCACGGGTTGGCATTACATCGCGAGCTTCATTGGGGACAATCCGGGTTGGTTCTCGAGCTATACACACCTACCTGCTAGATTTCTGTCCACTGTACTCGCGAAATCCGCCCGGGACCAATGTGCCTGTTGGTGTACCAGTGAAGAAAAGGGATGCCTGCCTATGCATGTTTTCTTGAAGTCCCGAGCCATTAAAAAGCACCATGGAAGAGAACATGATCTCTATCCCTACTTGCACCATCTCGCGGAAGAGTCGGAGGCATATGATTTGGGTGTGCAAACTTATTATCTCGAAGTCATCAGGTTTCTGACTTTCGAAGCTTTAGAGATGACGCATACTTGTTGCGAGGTAGGTTGGCTAAAGGGAAATCACAGACTTTATCCTTTAGCTGACTTTGTTAAGTTCACGATGGTGGATGATCCAGGTTCAAGCTCAGGATATGCCCGTGCAATCACCGACTGTGATTCAGAAAATTCACATGGGATCAGATCTGGGGTAGAAGAGCAGCACAACATGAGTTTATTAGAAGATTTGATGAAAGAATTTGCTCAGATAATGACTTCTATGGATTTGAAGTCGATCTCTCTGGAGGGGTTCATCTACGGCTATTGGCGTAACCGTATCTCCAAACTGTTCGCGGTCGATCCGGAGTTCATCAACACTATTCACTATAGTCAAGTGAGCATGGATCTCTGTAAGTATCACAAGATTGAACCTTAATCCGGTTTTAGATTTATTGACTTCCCCGACAGATGTCCTACCAGAAAGGCTTCGTTGTTTGCTTGATAAGGACTTTGAACTCAAACGACCCTGAGTCACAATTGATGAGAGCCCCGGTCAATGTATCTCTTATAGTCTCAAAACTAGCTACTATTGGAATTGTAGAAGAATGAACAGTCATGAAAATCTGTCCGAATCAGAAAGACTTGTATTCTATTCGTTTCCTTGCAGAACTGTATCAAATCGGGCATCTTTAGTGAGGAGCGCTGTAGTTATATGTCACTGCCTTTATCAAGGTATCTCGAATCACGAAAACGTGGTCAACAGGCTCTGGTTTACGGTTACAGTGACCAAGCTCAATCTGAGCGTCATTTTGCTTATACCATTAACCTGTTCGTTCGCTTCAGCATGTACGAAGCCAGCATGATAGTTAAGTCCGCGCCCTTCCCGGTAACGACCAGTCGGAGCCCAACTCCCAGGAACACGCTCATCAACTCCTTCCAATTCTTCTCAAGAATAGCTTCTAGTAGCTCTGAAGGAATAAGCTTGCAACAAAGGTAAAAGAGGAGAAAGTCCGAAGAATTGGTTCGAACCCGACGGAACGCTTCATGGGATAAAATGGCCCGAATCAGGTTCTGAAGCCTCCTCCTAGGAACATCGAAGAGATAAATGCTTAAAGATGTTGCGACTGAACCAAGTGCATATCTTTTGAAATACATCTCAAGGTGGAATATCGTTGAGCAGAGCGGTTTGAAAGTCTTCCAGATCAAGGAATCAATGACAAATGTAAACATCCATGGTGAGAGGGCAAGTGACCGAACAACTGTACGAGCACTGCTCCGAGCATGGTAGGATAGTCGTTGTAAGGATTGCGTCCACCCTTCCTGAAGGTCCGTCAACTCGTCCTTATTGAAGAGACGCCAGTCAGGGCGATGTCTGTCGACACCTTTTTGCGTAATTTCAAAAACAAAAAGCGTCTTTCCAAAGTGTTGCTCGCGGGTCCAATCAATATCATAGTCTTGTTCTTGCCTCCGTGTCCAATACATAAACATTGGGTTTGTGCATTTAGACCACGAGCTGGCAAGGGATACACCGTCAAAGAAGGTTCCAACGGGACTCTTGACGAATCTGATAGTGGCCTCAAGATGAGATCCTATCCGAATCGGCCCCTGACTTGGTGTTGATTCTATCAGGACTCTTACAACAAATGGTTCTACATCATTGACAAGGCTTTTGATTAGAACCAAAGCAACCCTACTGGAACTTTGATTCTCGTCTTCAGGGATACCCGTCATGATGATCCGTGGATCGGGCTGCTGCGGTACGTTTGGCGGATAGACCTCTGCGATATAGAAGTTTTCTGGAAGAGACTCCAAGAAGACTGTATAGCTCGGTGGCTGGACAATGCTGCTGGCAAAAGAGAGGCTTGGGAGTAGATTGACTGGGGTAAATGACCATGCCCTCCAGTACTGATAACTCAGAATTGACAGCGGTCTTTTGCTTCGTACATAGAGGTTGTTGCGGCTGTTGTCCAAGGGGATCGCAATCATGGTTGTGGGATCTTGTTTCGTCCTGCACTGCAGCAGACCATATCTCCCATAGCTAAAGCTGTCGCTGGAAACTGGCATTTCGATGCGTAGGCCCTTGTTGGTGATTTGGAATGGCGGGGTAGGCATGCCCACATCACAAGGGATAAAGTCCCTGCAATTTGCAAACGCAGCCGGAGATGTAGCAAGCACTCCTAGCTCGTCTGGCGCGTCTTCTGGGGGGTACCAGGCCAACAACGTCTGATCATCTGATCGTTTCATGATCTCCTCTTGCAATCTCAGAAAAGCATTTGTGCCCTCGCCGTATAGTAGAGGCATATTGATTCCAAATATACCCAGCAGACAGTACGCCGTGTCCTCAATGCGAGTTGTCTTACGTTTCGAAGCCCAGCTCATCTTCTCGGCAATGCTTGCCGCATGGAGTCGAGATTGCAAACGGCAGTCTGTCGAAGTCGGCGGAGCGGATAGATATGTCTGGTCTATACCGGTAATTTGCGTGATAAGATCGACGATATCATTTCTTTCGGACATGACAGACCAATCGTCATAGAAAAATACGAGCTTCGACGGAGCTATGAGTTCTTGAAGGGTCCAGCCTCGTTCAAACCAACGACTCTTTGCAAATGACGATTCTGGCTCGTGAATGTTGGTGCCTGGTGGAACATCTGCCAAATATGTATAACATATCTCCGATCGCTGATACCAACTCATCATTGAGTTTATAGCCTCTGATAGCTCTGCGCTGCTGGTCTTGTCGATACAGCATGTGTCGACCCAGGCATACCCATATCCATTCTCAAGGGCTAAGGCGCATGCTTGTTTGATTTTGGTATATCCAGATCGCTCTGTCCCTTTGTTGTTCTGCATATCTTGGAGGGCAACTTCTTGTCCTTCAATCCATGTATGGGACAGGATCACATATTTCGGGACATTGTGATCCATGAACTCCACCACCTCAAGGGTGTTCGCATCTAGCAGCCTCATTGAGAATTCCTAGCCAATAGGTGGTGAGAAGAGAAGAGCAATAACAGACGACGTCAGAAATTTAGAGACAAAATCACAGATAGAACAATTAGGATTAAGAAAAGAAGAGTTTTTAGAACAGAGATTGGCAATTCAAAAGCTCAGCCTCATTCATTTATGACCCATGCATTCAGCTGGTGACGTGGTTCGAGGAGATTGGGCCGCTCGCTGTGTGTGCTTGGCGCAGAACACGCTGATCACAACAAAGAAAACAGAAAATGCCAAAGGCTCTAATTAATTCAGGAGTTTACTTGATTGCAAGTCTTGGTCTCAGATCATAAAAACCATGAGCGGCTATTATTTGACAGAGTCGGAAATCGCCGAGCCTCGGAATAGATCAACATTTAAGAAGCATTATGTAAGTCATACAAAGCAAAACTCATATCAAATTGAATTTATTACTTCCTTCAATTCAGTGCTAAAATATGTTTTTGGTACTAGATTTATTGTTGTTTTTTTCTCTCTCCCTTATTTCCTACCTTTCATGCTCCTACTGGAGACCCTGAGAAGGCTAGTTGTTTGCTCATCGATGACCACAAACTGTCAAGCCCTAGAACCAGGAATGACAAGCACTGGGCAACGAATCTTCTATAGTCTATCAATCCTAGTTGCCAAGGAATTTATAGAAGAACGAACAGTCATGCAAATGCCCGTCCGCACTCTCAGCATACTGCGGACAAACACCCCATTCCGTATATCCGAGCTTCAAGTAAAATCCTCTGGCCGGGGTATCCGAAGCTGTATCCAACAACACCATCTTCTTACCCAACTCCTGCTTTGCAAAGCTCTCCGCCATATCCATCAGCTTCCTTCCCAGTCCATGGCCTCTTTCTGCTGCGGAAACCAATAGTTTGCCGACTTCGACTTTGTGTGAATGAGTTTCCTTGGGGTGAGTCACGAGCGAAATTGTTCCCACTGCGGTGGTGTCGCGGGCGAGCACGAATAGGGTAGCCCTGGGGTTGGGGCCGAATAGTTGAGGTGATTGAGAAGACCAGAATTCAGTGGCTTTGGCGGCGGAGAGAGGTGCGTGGAAGCCGATTGAGGATGCAGATGGATCATCATTGACGCAAGATAGAAGGAGTTGGGTGAGTGAGATCTTCCACTGCTCTAGCTTCTCGGGACTAGTAATTTGATGTAGCGTGAAGCCCGCTGGAAATTTGATAGCAGTTGAAGAGCCCATTGTGTTACTCGGTAAATCAGGAATAGTTCAAATTTGCTATATGAGATGCGACTGTCCGACCATCCCACTATATGTAAGGCTAGTTTAGTTGTTTGCATGAGTCATTGTAGATAGTGACCGAGCTGAATTATGTTACAAAATCACTTATCTCTTATTCCCTTTACAGAATGCAGGGGTCGGCTATCTTCGGAGACTCATGCCGAACCTTGGATATCCAATAACTCGATGGCTACCTACTATTCTGAGGTTTATCGTTGGTAAACTCGCGAGCATGAATCATGAATTAATAATCGTGATTCACGCCCTTCGTGCGACATACGCGTCTCAAAGTCAATTATCCCGCCATCCCCGCTCCTCAAACCGGCCAATTATTGACGAGTTCCCGAAGACCCTCCAATCTAACCGGCTTCTTGAACGTCGTGTTCATTCCAAACTCATCAATCATTCGCCGATTCTCAGTCTCTATAGGGTCGGCCATGAGTCCGATGATGATAGCGGGCTGAAGATTGTTCTCTTTCTCATGCTGTCTAATAAGAAGTGAAGCTTGCATGCCGCCCATGACAGGCATGGAAATATCAAGCAAGATGATTTTGCATTGATCGGGGTGCGCTTTGTACAGGTCGACGACTTCTTGGCCGTTCCAAGCAATGTTGTATTTGAGACCGAGTTTATCGAAGTGAAGCTTCATCACTTTCATGTTGACTTTGTTATCGTCGACTAAAAGGTACTTGGCGTCTTCAACCCATGAATCCTCAGGAATGCCTGAAGAGGGGACAGTTTGCGCCGAAACGTCTAATACTTTATTGTCCGATTCACTCATTTTCGCTAGAGTATATGTTTGCTGGCTGTCATTAGACGCGGGGTCCTGTGCTGACGCGTCAGCGTCCGAGCTTCATATTCATCGACAGTTTGGTGGCTTGAACGAACCGTATTGGATCAAGATTTATAGACAAAACTTGGTGTTAGATGAGGCCGAGATGAGAGACGATGAAAGTGAGTGAGATTGAATGAGTGGCGGCCTCTTGACCTTTGTTGGTGTAGCATTCGTGGTTTGACTAAGCGATCGTGGAGCCTGAAGGATTATATCTGGGTCTCAAGCGCATTGCGATCAGCAGTGTCGGTGGGCCAGTAAAATTGTTAGTTTCTTCCTAACAGCGTTGGAGTGATTTGAATAGGCCATGTATCGGATTCGGTCCTATCGTCGTGATGCTGGAGCGTAAACTTACAGGAAGTGCCATGATTGGCCCTGGCGTATGCGTTGAAGTCCTACAAACTTCAGCCAGGACTATAGAGCTCAGCCACTATCACAGCCTCCTCGTGACCATTCGCTGCCGACGCCTATTAAAGTGGAACATATGAAAGCTCTCCCCCCATCGTGAGCTCCGGAACATAATTTATTTATCCAAAAATTGTCATTAGTCCTCTCAAGATGTTCACACTTTTCCCTCGTTTACCACCAGAACTTCGCGACAAAATCTGGTACCACGCCCTATCAGAACCCCGCCAACCAGGAATATGCCAATGGAAGCCAGGCTGCTGGATCCTAAAATACCTTACGGCAGAAGACCATGATTGGTCCGACAACGATCCAAACAACATCCGCTTAGAGTTTCGCCCCGACAAGCTGGGAACGCCAGTTCATATACCCATCGTGGATGTCAATCAGGAAGCCCGCCGTGTTGCGCTAGCTTGGGCTCGTGATAACAACATCAGGAAGCGATACAAAAACGGCAAATACGACTTCAGGCGGAGGATGGATAATGACAGAGATACCGTCTACTTTGCCAGCAATATGATAGATGCTGCTGAGATAGAGGCTATTTATCGAGGGTTTCAACCAGATCTCATTGAGAAGAATCACACCGTGGCAACATATATAACAAGCTTGGCTATACCTGCCAGATTCCTGCGCACATCAGATTGGACGCCTGATACCTGGGAATGGCATGAGAATCTTGAAAAGATATACGTCATTGTTGGGAAACAACCCGATCGAAAGGGTCAGTGGGAGATTGATATGACCAGAGGGACAAGCTTGTTTTGGACAAGGGAAACTGGCAAATTTATTCCCCAATCAGGAGCGGATGAGTTCTGCAGTACAGGTCTGTTGAAGACGATCATGGAGGATAATATGGAGCTTGGGGCTGCCCTCTCGCGCTGTCAAGGGCCGCGGAGAGAGTCGTTTGAAATTCGTTTATGCTCAGCTATAAGAAGGTGAGTGGTTTGGTCTCTTGTGCAATGATATACTTACGTGTATTCAGATCCCCGAAGAAGCCGTCTCGCACGGTGAAGAACATGAAAAAGATGGTTGATGGATGTTTAAGCACGGGGAATCGAAGCAAGGGTTGCCGATGAGGTTACATGAAAATAGTCCAGAGAAGAGCTGTGTATGGAGGAATAGATGTTTCAGCTATACATAAGTTCTCTATACCGTGGACAAGTTCGACAGCGACTTAGAATATCACGATGTTATCAAAAGTCAGAGAAACATCACATCAACTGTTGAACAGGGCAGTGTAGCTGTAAAATCAAATCATGTTCCTACATACTGCCGACAGAGCCTTATATCGATCCAAAGTCATATTTCATCATAATAATACATTAGGAAGCCAGTCCACCCTTTCGACCAGCCTCCTTGGCCTTCTCGCTGCCAGCCTCGAAAGACCCAGATGAGGCCTTGCCGCCTTCAGAAGCGATCTCTCGCTGAATGATTTGTTAGAATGTGATATTTGTCTAGATACGTGGTTGACCGACCTGCTTGTCGGCGTCCATGCTGGCAAAGCCGCCAGAGTGGCTGGACTTTCCGCCCTTGGAAGCAATCTCTTGGACTTCCTCTTTAGGTCTATGCTTGTTAGGCATGATAATTGTCGACTTAAAACTTGAGGAGGCTGGACATACCGGTTGGCAAAGTTGCCGGGGTTGGGGTTGTCTGTGCCAGTCATTTTAATAGTTGTGTAAATAATTATATAACAGGTCTTCGTTTTTGAATCTGTTCAGCAAAACTGAATGGAATTCTTCATCTTTAAATATTCCTCTGACCTATAGTCCTAGTTGACGACGCGTTACGGATACGTCTACATGACGTCTACGACTCCACGCGCCCTGACCAATGTATTGACTCGATTAGCAAATATCCTATTTTCGATTACTTCCATATGACGTTTCTCAAAAAGCAAAACTGATCAAATTCACGGCTGAGTGATGTGCTCATTCTTCTCATGACGTCCAAGATGTTGCGTCGTTTCTTAGCAACAGCTCAAAACGACATTTTATTGGTGTAAGCTTAAAGTGATCTGCGGGTTTGTAGGATTGCTCATCAATTCAACAAGATCTTTCGTGAGTTAATGGAGATTTTATCAGCTAAGACAATTGTTAGCAATGAAAATAATTCCAGTGCAATTGTGGCTTACTGCAGTGTATTGTGTCCCCGAGGATCCAGTCACTTTATAACACCAGCGCGCCTCATCAGAAGATGTCAGTCGTGCTCGCTCATCACAACCATTTAGAATATGTGTTTGGACAAGGAATATACACTTGACAGCAGCCATATAAATATCGGTTCCATAGCCTGGTAGATTCGAAGGAATTCTCCGCAAGTTTTATGATGCAAGAGATTCAGATAGAAAATCGAATAATAATCCGATCATTGAGCAACACGGCGTTGGTAATGCCATCCCTCTTCAACGTTATCCCATGCGCCTGATAAGATACGGAGCCAGATGATAAGATCAACATCCGCCAATAACAAGTCGAGCTGCTACGTCATTCCACCTTACGTAACCGTCATATTCCCGTAATCTCACGCTCACCCAAGTCACCGAGTCGGCGACTTGATCTCCTACCAACAAGCCGCTGAGAAATCACCAGCAACAACTCTAACCTCAATGACGGAATCGCAAAATCGTCAAAGCAGCGCAAGGTCGCCAAGCGCTGCACCTGGCCGGACACGCGTAGCTCGTGTGGCTTGCAAGGCGTGTCACGCAAGACGGGTAAAGTGTGACGCCGCTGATGGGCAGCCGTGTTGGCATTGTCGTACGCGCGATGTTATTTGTGAGTTGATAGACTCCAAACGTGGAAAGTAGGTAGAAAATTATGATATGACGAAGAATTGGAGACTCACTGGCTTGTAGATATGCTAGACGAAGTAATGCGCAACGCGTGTCAAGAAGAAAGCAGGCGCAGAGTCCGGTTGATCAACACGATACATTGAGCGACAGTATCGCAGTAATTACGCCTCAGAGTAACGAAAATTCGCAGTACCAAGATCAAAGCCAGCCTGTCCCTCCGACTATCGCAAGGGATAATGAGCCGGGTTCTCAGCAACAGAGCTTGTCCGGGAATGACAAGTCATACTTCCTGGGCGACTCAAGCAGCTTATCGTACATCGTCGAGATGATATGTAGTCCAAGAGGTGGTGTTAGCGAGCCCGTCAAAGTCCACTACCCCATACCAGCATCGATAGCAGACCGCGCAATTATTCCAACACGACCCCAAGTGGAACCACTTAGTGTACGGGATGCACTGACGATGCCGCCAAAAGAAATATCCGACCGTCTCGTGTATACCTTTTTCGAGATCATTCATCCGCCTTATCCGGTGGTAGACAGGCGTGCCTTTTCGGAGTTGTACAGACAGGGCAAAGCGTCGCCTATGCTCTTACATGCGATGTTCCTTGTCACGTTCATTCTCTGCGATGAGAGTCTTATACAGGCTGCTGGGTTCAGTGATCGGACCGCTGCTCGCAAACATCATTATCTTCGAGCGAAAACACTGTATGATGTTGATCATGAGACTGACCGGAATGTCCTCACAGCAGCAATCTTTCTTTTGGGGTTTTGGTGGAATGGACCGGATGACCAGAAAGACTCGTGGTTCTGGCTTGGATGTGCGACGTCTTGTGCGCAGTCTTTAGGGATGTATCGCTCGTATGTGGATCATTCGCCGTCTGTGAGCTGATACTGACTTGGTCGCAGGACGGTTGCTTCGAGGCTGAGCCCTGAGAAAAGAGCGTTGCGGAAACGAATCTGGTGGTCCATCTACGTTAGCCAAAGCAGTCAAATAATTGAGTGCCCTACTAACGCTTGTAGACTCGCGACCGACATACCGCAGCATGCCTCGGCAAGCCATGCAGAATCAGGGACGAAGACTGCGACATCGAACCTCTGACCGAAGAAGACTTTTACTTTGACGACAACCACAACGATCCTCTAATAGCCCGACAAGAAGAGTACCATACGGCTCTCGCGATAGAGATGACCAAGGCTGCCGAGATCCGTGAGTTCATTTCTACCGATGGCCTTTCCTCTCAGGTTCCTAACCTCTGCCTAGTCGGAGATATCGTAATCGCAGAATACAGTCCTCGACGACCTGACTTGGAACAATACAGACCAGACCGTCTGAAACAAAGACTTGAACAATGGGAAGCACAGCTGCCAAAGTGCATGCAGAGGGCCCAGCTTGATGAGACACTGGGCCCAGCGTTCTGGGCGACCCAGTTGCACATGGCTTACCAGTAAGCGATACGACAGCGGACAACATAGTAGCTGACGTATTCCAGGAACTACTACATCCTCCTGTTCAGACCCAAGGCAATCGAGGACCTCACACCGTCTGAAGCCGAAGGAGATATTTGGGCGCGAAGGGCTGCTGATTCCATCACTCGTATGACCGAGGATCTCCTTGCGGTCGGAGCAATGAGTAAATGTCAAATGCACATGCAAGTCGACCTCGCCTCCAATTCCACTCAGAATCTAACCTTTTCTCAGTGTCCCCGCTGTCTTCGGCGCCCTCTCCATCCACACCCTCGTCATCTGCCGCAAGGACCCCATCCGACGCCAACTCGCCGGCAACAAATCACGGCAATGCATCCTCGCACTAAGTGAACTCGCGAAGCACTGGCCCGTAGGGCTATGGATCATGAGATTCTTCGGCAACCTCATGCGAAGACTCACAGGTCAAGGGTCTGCAGTCTCAGCAGGCTCAATAGTTGACGTGACGTCGCGCATCGCAAACCGTAACCGTAATGAAGACTCTACTCTGAATACTTCCGCGGAAGTCAGTAGGGCAACGTCTCAGACTTTGGCGGAGAATGGGGGTCCGTTCACTGACGCCACAAACGCCCAAGTTGCTGGCGCTGTGATGGAAACGAATGATATCTTCCAGCAGCAGGCAGATCAGTTCGGGTTTGACAACTTTTGGACGGAGGCTACCATTGATGTTGATCTACTGCTTCAGCATGGTTTATGCCCATTGCTGCCCGGCAACTTTGGTACTTTCCCACCAATGGCAGATTCACAAGGCTTTTAGAAAAAGACAGGATTCTGGTCATACTTGCGAAATATAAGTCTTTAACTGGGTATGATGTCTATCTATTCTATGTGTCGCTGCTCTATAATGCTTTTTATCGAACCTCATCTATCGCACCCCAAACATAAGTGATACAGCTAACTTGAGGCTGGTCCAAATTACCTATCTCTTCCCCAAATCCTTTTATGTCATACCTTTAGATCTTTGAAGCAAATTTGCTCTTGGCTCGCAGCTTCTTGCCGTATCTGAAGAATAGATAAGGAAACGGCGCCATAGCAACCGTCAAGAAAGCTAGAAGACTGGAAGCCCATTGATAGCCAAGCGTCTCGTACATTTGAATGCCAAATAGTGGGAATGCCGCTATACGATTGTCAGTGACTGTTGTTTAGAGTCAAAAGAGCCAACTGGACGTACCTGCGAAGGAGCATCGGGCAAAGCTGTTGGCTGCCATGGCAGAAGCGGCGTATTGGGGGTAAGCGTCGACCAAGAAGGTGAAGATGCCAGTGAAGACAAGCATCATGCTGAGAACAGATGTTAGCCGATAATCGAGAAGACGAGACCACAGAAACTTACCCGCATCCAAAAACCCCCGATCCAATGATAGGCACAATCCAATGAATGCTGGGGTACGTCGTCCAAGCAAACCAAAACAAACCAATAGGGATAAGAACGGCTCCAAGAATACAAGGAGGAAGTCTGTACTCAGGCTCGCTGATGGCTTTTCCAGTCTCCTTCTCCTGCTCCGCCAACCATCGAAGTCGGAGTCTGGCCCAGAAGGGAGTCGTAGCTGTTGCAATAACAAATCCGACCAGGATTCCCAAAAACGTCATTCCGGTCTGCCAGAGACTCATACCCTGGTTCGTTCGGAAGATGAGAGGGAAAGCGCCGAAGAATAGATACAGGATACCGAGAAGGATGGCAGAGTAGAGATCCAGGCAAAGGCACATGGGCTCGAGGAAGAGCAGCTGAAAGGGTCGAAGGACTGACAGCTTGAGCGTCTCGAGGATTGGCTTCTTCGTATGCTCCATCGGCGCTCTGTAGGCCTCATTCCCAGTTTCCTTTCTCAACATTCTCGCCTTGTCTCTCAATAAAATTGGATGAAACGTCTCCGGCGCAAACACCACAATGGCCACCATAACGAACGCAGCCCAAATTAGCATAACATAATACGTCCATCTCCAATGTGTATTATAGTTAATAAAACCACCAATCAACGGCCCAATAGCCGGGCCGATAAAAGGCGCCAATGACACTAAACTCATAGGCTTCTGGATCTCATGCCGTTCGAAAACATCACCTGCTGTTCCGCCTGCAACGCTGAGGAACGAGCTGCCCGCGAAACCAGTGAAGAACCGCGCGATGATCATGGTCTCGATGTTTTGCGCTACAGCGGAAGGAATCGTCCAGATTATGAACATGGCCCATGAGACGAGGTAGATTGGTCGTCGGCCATAGTACTCACTCAACGGGCTGGTGAGCACAGGGCCGAGCGCGATACCTAGGACGAATGTTGAGAGGCCGAGGGTGGCGACGATCTGGGAGCAGTGGAATTCGGCGTTCATTTGGGTGTAGGTAGCTGTGTAGATTGAACTTGCGCATGTTCTGAACAAGTCAGCGGATATAGAGTGAAGATGAGGTTGGGGACTTACACGCAGAGACTTCCCATGCAGGCGATTGAGACAATCATCCATTTTCGCAACGTCGACATACTCCGTGGACATAAAGGGTCTTTGTCGCCGTCCCACGAAACTTCGAAGGATTCGCAGTCGGTGGTCAAGTTGCCAGCCTCCGTAGTCTGATCACTAAGATTGGCATTCTGATCATCCGTGTTATTTCCAGCTTCTGGTGAATTTTTCTCAAGGTCGCTGCTGGAACTGGCTCGCTGATCTGAGAACAGCTGCCCATCGTGAGGAACCTCTTTCTCACTCATTGTTGCTGTTGTAATGATACCATGCTAAGATAAGACCCTGTTTTTGTTCTCATGGGAGATACTGACGTATTTAAACCAAAAATAGGTAAATTTGCGGCTCCACGGCGCGCATCAGATTTGTAATGACGCTTTCTTTTTCACGGAGATAAGATGTGGGTATTCGCTATCGTGAGATGCCTCGGCGTCTTAAACATTAGTTCAACCCGTTAGTGCACTGTGATAGGCCCGGCTTTTGCGATTGCAGGGGGTGTTTTGGCCACCTCGGTTTTTGGCGCGGTTTTGCCAAAAGTCGGCGATTAAAGCTGATGGGAGAATTACCAACCTGAATGAGATTGTTGGTGAAAGGGCGTGGTTGTGCATGGTGTTTTGGGTCAATGTGGATGAATATGCCGAGTAATTCCGCAGTTAAAGAGCGAGATTGAGTATTTGAGTGTAACATTGTGGAAATTGTTACGAAGTGGCTGACTTTGATATTTCTTTGACAAATGCCGATGAGTGTTGTTCAATTCTCTCCTAAGATCGGCTCATCTATGTGCGCAAACAGTCTTATGAGACATGTGAGTGACTGTTTGCCCATAGATATCTGCTCGAGTTCTTTGTCTCCCAAAGATACCTACCCTGTAGATGCGCCATAAAACTGTCTTGTTTCGATAATGAGACTTCATGATGCAAAACAGTTTAGAGTTAGATAATTTAGTCAAAAGAGGTTGCGATGTTTATAGTATTAATTTGATTAACTCTCCTGGTGCTTTGGTGGGTTTGGAGTTCTGGTGGACATTCTGCCGGATTCGTCGATCAACAAGTCATCAATCACTCTTATTCAGAGCAAGTTTTCACATCAATCGTCAACATCAATCTCAGCACTTCGCGTAACACACCAGCCGCAATGGATCAAACCCCAGAAAAAATCGTCCTTTTCTTGTGGGAGCCCCTTCTGATCTCTTCAAAGCCATCTCTAACGGGTTTAGTGACATTGACAATTGTCTATACTCACGCAGTACGTCAAAGGTCAAGTCCTCATACGGGGCCTAACACGCGCAGATGACAAAGTCCTTGAGCACATGTCCCGCAACATCGACGACTACTTCAAGAAACATCTCGGCCTCTCGCCAGACGACGCAGAGCGCCTTCACAAGGATTACTCTCAGCAATACGGGCAGGCAATTGAGGGCCTGGTACGCCACCACCAAATTGACGCGTTAGAATACAACGCCAAGGTCGATGACGCGGTTCCATTGGACGACCTCATCAAGCCCAATGCCCAACTGAGACAATTCCTCGAGGACATTGATACTTCGAAAGTGAGGCTTTGGTTGTTAACCAATGCTTATGTAAACCACGGGAAAAGAGTCGTGAGGCTTTTGGGTGTTGAGGATCTTTTTGAGGGGTTGACGTATTGTGATTATTCTCAGGTCCCATTTGTGTGCAAGCCGCATAAGGAAATGTTTGACAAAGCTATGAGAGAAGCTGGAATCTCTGATGCGTCGAGGTGTTATTTTATAGGTAAGATGGATATTTTATCATTTTTAGGCCTTTACTGACACTTTTTAGATGACTCTCATAAGAACTGTGTCGGAGCGACAGAGGCTGGCTGGACTGCTATTCACTTTGTGGAAGAGGGACTTCCTGTACCTGATGCACCGGCGTCTCAGCATCGAGTTCGCCATCTTGAAGAGCTGAGATCGCTGTACCCCGAGTTCTTCAGAGTTAGAAAATGATACTGTCTCTATCTGCCAACAGTGTCCCGTGTGCTACCCCGCCAACCCCTGTCAAGTGCCCAGGATTAGAGCCGCATTACCCCTTGATCACCCCGCGTCGTTTCTTATCATACGTGTCTTATCGAGGGGAGACAGCACCTCCTCTCAAGGTTCAGTATTCACTTTCGAACAGTTACCACTTTACAACGGATGAAGCCTTCCCGCAAACAATTGCATCCAAAATGAAGCCAAAATTCTGCACCTTGTGCGGAACACACATTATTCAAACTTCAGCTGAGAAATGGGCTAGGGAATTTCGCGCGAGTAAGCTTTCCCGCCTAAATCAATCTCAGCCTAACACGGCCCCAAACAGTCTGGATCCAAGGTAACAACTTGGACGATGTGAAAGTTTCTGGCGTCGCCGCTAGGGACTGGAACGATCGAAATGATATCAGCAGCATCATTCCAGTGAGTCCAAATGCACGCTACGATGATCGACAGGTGGATGACGACGGCTTTCCCATTGAAGATGATGATGAGCATGAGCCAGATATCGAGATCTCCATCGTCAATATCGTTCATCCCAATCCTCCTCCCGAGTGGCGCTGGGGCTTCCTGTTCCACGATGTTTGCTGGTGTCTGTTGAACTTTGGAGGAAAAGTTGATCTTGGTGACCTCTTTCGACTCTGCGCCTCAACGCCTATCGGTCCTGACGTGCTTCTCAACTTTGGGCACGACTATGGTGGTGTTGCGGCACAGGATTATGAAGGGAGCATCGAGGTATTGGTGTCTCTCTTTAGAAAGCCCGAAAAGATGGGAGAAATGCTCAGGGCGAATCCTTTTGAGATCCCCGCTCTCAAAAAGGCCATCAACTTCTCTGCCCGTATGCAGCAGGATGCCTTTCAGTCCATTCTCGACCGATCGAACCTCAGCGCAGACAAGGATGTCTTCAATTACTTCCCTCCAGAGATCCTTGAGAAGATTGTGACGTTTCTCCCGTCTCCCAATGTTCACTCTCTTCGCCTTGCATCTCGTGTGTTTGCAACCCTCAGCCTGTCCGAACGCTTCTGGGTTTCACGATTTACAGAGGGACACGAGTTTGACTGCCTTCCTGAGGTGTTCGCTACTCCTCCGACATCATGGAGGGCCCTATTTCTCTCACTTCACATCTGGGCGTCTGATAACATGGGAATGGGCAACCGTAAACGAATCTGGCCGCTTGTCAAAGACTTCCACGAAACACTTGGCCAGATGAAAGACGTAGATTGCCTTGGGAACATCATCAACACGACTTTCGAGCCCGAGGCACCAAAGTCCATGCCGAAACGCGAGTCCTTAATGACTGCAGAAAGATACATTTCCGAACCTGTAACTCACTTCATGGGCGGCTCCCGGGCACTCCGAGCCCGGTTCGCAGAATTCCCCCAGAAACTTAGGATAATGCTCATGTCTGTATCATTTTTCGATACTCCAGATGGGGAATATATCTCTGGTCTCATGTTTGTTGGCGCCGATGGCGTTTTCGAGTCTCTTGGATACACTCACAAATCACAAATGGAACACATAACACTCTCCGAGGATCAATGTGTCAAAGGATTCGAAGTGGCCCTAGATGTGTGTGGCTTTCGGGCAATTGCGGCAATCACTGAGGATGGTACCACGTCCTCGTGGGCTGGAGATCCGTCAGACCACCCCAGGAGACGTCTCACCGATGTAGAGGGCATTTCTCTCATCATTGCTGAATTCGATGTAAGCTTTACTGAACCACGCAGTATGGGACCAAACTAATTCTGCAGGCACTTAAGCTGGTGTCGCTCAGTCGGGATCGTATAACAAAGAATTTAGAACCGAGGGATAGATTGCTCTGGCATCCCGAAATCCCATCTCCTGAATTATTCTTGGATGGAGTCCTACCCTTGGACGAAAAGAGGAGCTCAAATGTTCCCATCACGACGGTTTTCTTTGGAGAAAACGACGGTCGATACATAAGACAAATGGACTCGATAGACACCCACATCTACGACTGGTGTCACGTTGACCGCCTCAGCTTTGAGTTTATGGACGATAGCATTCAGCGATGTCTTGGGGATGTCGAATATGAAACAGAGCACTGCGATCGTGCCCCGATAAGATTCCCAGACCACGGCAGTTCTATGGGGCACATGGAAATTGACGGTGGAAGTGGCGAGGAGATTGAGAGTTTCGAGGTTCAGTTTGACAAAGGTATTATCATTGGACTCAAGGTAAGACTGATCATCTGAGAACGGAGAGAGTAAAGGCTGACAGTTGAAGTTCAATCTCAACACCAATCGCACTGAGCTTGTGAGTAATGGCGACGATCCCTTTGATTTGCCGTGGACCAAGGTTACTCCGCGTGGTAAAAGGATCATTGGCATGTTTTCTCAAGGCACTGAGACTGGATGGGGCGTAAGTTTGATTCTCCCTCTGTCGAAATATGCGTGTGTATGTGGTGCTAATCTTGTCTGACAGGCTAAGACGTTCCACAATCTGGGCTTCATTTCTACTAACGACGAACAGGGATAAACTAGATAATAGACATGTTTAAATCTGAACTATTGGATTGTCTGTTGATTTTATGCCGCATATGAATCCTATCATTCCTTCGTCTGCAGTCAGCCCAAAAATGGTGCTGACATAAGTTTCTCACTGGTGTCTTGATCAAAATCTCACTCACCATCCTTCCGTATTCTTTTAATTTTGAACAAAACATGGATTCGCCAAACAGAGTATTTGTCACGGGTGGAAGCGGTTTCTTGGGAGGACACGTTGTCCGACAACTGCTCAACGCTGCAGAAACTACTGTGGCTATCGTCAGCCGCCATCCCAAGATGCCAGCTGATGTTGCTGACGAGTCTCGCGTCTCGCTTCATGCAGCCGACCTGACAATACCGAGCCAGATTGACCAAATCTTTGAGACGTTCAAACCGCATGCTGTTATTCATACGGCCTCGCCGTCTTATGTGGATACACCTGCGAACCTGATCAAGGCAAACATCGATGGGACAAAAGCTTTACTAAAAGCTGCTTCAGCTTGTGCTAGCACACGCGCTTTTGTTTTCACGTCCTCTGACTCAGCTGTTGTACCTACGCAACATCCTCTATCTGAAGAACATTCTGTTCTATACGATGAGACGAACGCTCCAAATGCTTATGCAATGTCAAAAGCTGCCGCTGAAAGACTCGTCATTGCATCAAATTCAGAACAACTTCGGACTGCAGCTATAAGAATACCAGCCACATATGGCGAATACGACATGAACTTCGTGCGTCAACTCGTACAAAGCATTCGAAGAAAGGAGCACAAAATGCAAGTCGGCAATGATACCAAGGTCTTTGAGTTTCTGTACGTCAAGAAAGCAGCCGAGGCACATATTCTCGCCATGAGAGCACTTATGGACTCCGAGAAACGTGAAATGGCCGGGGGCCAGGCATTCTTCATCTCAGATGGAAGACCACAGAAGTTCTTTGACTTCTCTCGGAAGCTTTATGCCGCGGCTGGTTATCCGGTTGCATTGGAGGAGGTTACGAAAATTCCGTTTTTTGTGATGCAGGCAATGGCATCGACGGCTGAATGGGTTTACTGGATTATGACATTGGGATATATTAAGCCAGGTATGCGAAGGACTGCTATTGATCATTTAGATTCAGGATGCTGTTGGTCATTGGAGAAGGCGAATAGAATACTGGGTTACGAACCGGTTGCGGATCAGGATCAAGTCATTAGGAAGACAATGGAGTGGGCGATGAAAGCTTTGTGAGCGTCTGTTTGACGTTGAGTTCTGCATTTCTGACACTTGTGGGAAGTGAGGCCATATCTAGCTAATACACGTACTGGAAGTACTTATTCTTGAAGTCTGTTTCATCAAGAAGCCCCGCCTCCCAAGCTCTCTGCTGATTCTCAGGAGTATGAAGGTCTCGCCTTGACCTATTCCTCATCCACAACAACACCCAGAGCGCAACAAGACTTGCAACTTGAATGGCAATACATGTGAACATCATGCCCACTCCAAGCTCATACTGGGGCGCCTGATTAGACTTGAAGAAGAATGGTCCGACAAAGTTTCCCAGACAATACCCGATTAGCAACAAAGCGTTTGTTGTGATCTTTTTAGTGTGACCCGCTGTGTTGGCCATGGAGACGGACATGCTAAGTGTCCAGGTTGCTGTGTATGAGAAAGACATCCATAGACATGCTAAGCGAGCGTATGCGTCGCTGTGAGGGAGGAAATGAAGGCCTAGAACGCCGGCGAGGAAGGGGACGAGGCCGAGGAGCATGATCGGAATTCTAGAGTTCTTGATGACGGACGCACCCCAGCTGTAAGGCAGTGATTAGAGAGATTTCTTAGTAATGAGACTGAAGACTTACCAGGCTAACACGCATGCGATTAGTTGGACTGCGCCTGATGGCATCTGATATAGTGTCGTATCGAGGGTACTGAAGCCAGCACCTTTGATGATGAGACCTTGGAACTAAGACAAATCAGTCAGCAGCACTCCGAAACCTCGGAGGGAGATACCTACCGCGGACAAGCCTCCATTGGGCGAGTTACTCGTAAGGGCAAATAAAAATAACAACCAGGTCTTCATATCAAGCATCGCCTCCCAAAACTGCGTCATCTTAAAGTGCTTATTCTCAATACCTGTGCCATTTCCCTTCACCCTCGAAATAACTCTCGCTTTCTCATCAGCTGTCAGAAACTTTGCTCTCATAGGGGCACCTGGAAGTAAGAACAGGAGGATAACTCCCCAAGCAACAGTGATGGATCCCCAGATGATAAAAAGTACTCGCCAAGAGGGTAGAGCAGACTTGACGTGGCCTATACCAAAACTAGCTATACCAGCGATGATGTAGCCCATACCCGCGGAGCCAATCCATATACCCATACGGAGAGGCTGTTCTTTTCGCATGTAGTACATGCTGAAGAGGAGCATGGTGCCAGGGTTTATGGCTGCTTCGAGAGCGCCGAGAAGGACGCGCACGACGACGAGAGTTGTGAAGGAGGTGACGGCTCCGTGGGCCATGAGTACGGCGCCCCAAGCGATGACCTAGAAGACCTCAGTAAAACACGAATGGACCGGAAGTCGCAAGAGACTTACAGTTCCTGACATAAAGTAATTGATCGGAAATCGTTGAAGAAACATACTGGTCGGAAACTCCCAAATGAGATAACCGAGGTAGAATATGCCGCCGGTCCAGGAGAACTCATCTCCCTTGAGGTTGAGATCTTCTCTTAGCCCGAACACGGCAGCATAGCTGATAGTATTCTTATCAATTGACTGCAGCGCATAGGTGAAACAGAGAAGGGGCATAAGTCTCAGGTCTAGCTTCCATCGTAGAGCCTTATCGAGCTCAGGACTTGTCTCGATATCGTCTGCATCGCGGCACAGAGTCAAGGCTTCGGCTGTAGAAGCATCGTTTATGGTTCCCTCTTTGATAGACTGGGTATGTTTCAAGTCGTCTGTTATTTTCTCTGCCATTTTGTCAACAGTTTGTATGGGCGACGAAAGAGGCGACGACTGAGTCGGGCGTAGACATTTCCAGTCTTTATACGTATCCCCTCTTCTGGTCATTCGAGGTTAACTGATAGTTGATCAGTGGATAACAGGTCGCAATTCCCGCGGGAAACTCCACATGCGGATACCACGATGTTGTAGTTGCGATACGCGGCCCAGGGTGCTTATCATTACCCCTCAGCTACAATGTAACGTTGATATCGAGCATCAGTCGTACCACATGGCTATCTATCTCTCACCCGGCCTATAATCTGTATGCCGACCAATAAAGCATTGCCTGGCTATATGCTTTCTCCTCCCAACCTAGTACTATGTTAGTTAGGTACTTGGACAGATACACCACTGGTTAGCTTTTCGGGATTTCAAATATTCGTGGCATCGAATGTTGAATAACAAGCTCTCTGTGATGATAAAAGCTCCCAGCCACCATAAAACAAACCACCCGACTTATGATCGATTCGATTTAGACCTTGATCTGAAACCTTGCGCCAGTATCGGTAGAACTGATATAATCTTCCAACTGCAGCATGTTCCTTGCGACTAAGTATGATCTGCGGACATCAGATCTCTTCGGCAGGCGCCAGAGCGGAGAGAGGCCAAAATCACTAGCAAACGTGGACATGTTTCTAGCAGCTCTGATGGTATATCGGTCTGAACCACGACACACAGGCCTTATAAACCACGAAACAGAACGGCTGGTAAATTGCCCGTCATTTTTGACCGTCGATACACCTGCCCTGTCATGTGACATGCACTTTCCAGAGCTGTAGTGTACGAATCTGCCAGCATGTCTAAGATCTGCATTGAATCCACTCCCAAATGACATTTTCCACATCGATGCCATCTTGACTGTATCTAGGTCTTCTGATCCTCGATGGACAGGTATACGAGCCCCTATGAAGAGGGACATTGAGGTGATATCGTCGATACTTGCAGGTTTTGGTCCGATTCCATACCCCTCATCAGTAAGGAGCGTGACGAGAGTAGAAGGCCGCAAGAGAGTCCATTCAACGAGTCGGACAGTATTTTCTCCAACAACGGCTCTGAAGGTCTGCTCTTGCCTCTTGAGCTTTTCCTTCTGGCGTTGGATTGTAAGTGCGCCTTCGAAAAAGTCCACGTTCGGAGCATCGTAAGCCATCTGCAGCAGAGAAATTCCCTTGACGACCACGACCCAATAGCCCAGCATCTGTCTCTACTTATTAGAATGTGATTATAGACAGGATCTCGAAATAATAGCGAAGTCTTGCTCTTTTCGTGATAGCTAACGAAATCATCAGAGTTATCAAAAGCCTTCTGGACGGCCTGACGGAGAAAAGGCCTTAGCCCATCCTCTGCAAGGAAATCGTTGATGCGGTCAAGAATACCGGGTATCTCATTAGAGCATACCCTAAGGCGGTCTTCCAGCCGAGTTTGGATGGCATTTAGCTTTTTATCGCGTTCTGCATCCGAGATATCCTCAGGTAACGTGACGGCTGTTTCCATCAGGTCGGTAATCGTGTCGTACATAGTCTCTATCTTCGTAAGAGACTCCCTCAGGTTGTCGCTTCGTAGTTGGAGAAGAGCTTCAGGAAGCTCTCGTGACGGATTGTCCACGGTCCGTTTCAGTTCCCTCATTTCTGTGACAGCCGCGGAGATATCCCGTCGGATCTTGTCGGTGTCACTACCGCCTGAGGCCGAGTGCAGAATCTGTTTGAAGGCCCATGTCCCAGCCTCACCTGCTAGGCCGATGGCGAACTTATTCAGGAGCCCCAGGCCGGAGAGTGTTATAATTGTGGATGCTACCATGACATACTATGAATATCTATCTTGAAGGGAACTATGGTTGTGTTACAGGAGCTGGAGAAATTAAGGATACGGAGGACAAGCGAGGACGCCTTGAAATAGTTGATAGTGATAAGTGCGGCTGAATAACTTTAGCAAATAGTTGGTGATCTTTACCGCATTGAGTGGATTTATCGAACGCCACTCATGGTCTACACTCACCGGCGAAGCTGTGTGCAAGAACAACCCCCAAGGAAATTTTCAACTTAGCAGCTGATGGTAAGTGGGTAGACTGAACTGTTTATTCTATTAACTCTCGTATCTTGAATCTGAGTGATCGGCATCGCGATACGAGGGTCCCTTGTGTGACCCGGTTTAACGTGGGACCCTGATAAACGCGGGGAAGCCTCAGGACATTCATCCTAAGCGATTGAAAGATTTAGGTAAATTTAGGCAGATTACAGTAAATCTTTAGACCAGTCCTGCCTCGCCTGTACGTACAAGGTTAGACCTACGGATACGCTTATCTGCCGTACGACCACTACCAGAGTTTTCCGCGGTTGCGCGGGGAACATGCAAACCAACTTGTCCTGTTTCCCGAGACGAGATAAAGTTGCCGAATGCCGACTGATAAAGAGGACTGAGATACTAATGAAATTGCAATAGTCTACAGCACTTCACTTTCTCATAGTAAATTCACAGAATGACATCCTCACATCCGTACCAGCTGCTACCTATCGATGAGAGAGTCAAACGAGTTTTGGCTACAACACCTCTTATAGATGGCCACAATGATTTGCCCCAACAGCCTAGAGCTTGTTTTCATGGAAAAATACACAATAATGAGAAATTCGACCTAGAAAATGGTTTCCAGCGTGGAATGACTGATATCCCTCGTCTGAAGCAAGGTGCCCACCAATATCTCCCTTCATCCCAATCCGGATGCTGACACTCTTTCAGGTGCTGTAGGCGGGCAGTTCTGGTCCGTCTGTGTTCCATGTCTCAGATCAGCAGAGAACTTCACAACTCCAGAGTATTCAGACATGGCTCGAGATGCGATTGAACAGATCGATCTGACTCTGAGACTGGTCGAGTCTTATCCAGAGACATTTCAACTGGTTAGCGGACCTTCGGAAGTCAAGGGTGTTTACGCCAGTGGTAAGATTGCTTGCTCGATTGGGATTGAGGGCCTGCACATGGCAGGTAATAGCATCGGTATCATCAGAGCTTTCTACAGGCTCGGGGTGAGATATGTAAGCAACACAGATCCCTCTTGTTTTAGGCATTATGTTGACTTGGCCAGTGCACTCTCACCCACGTGTGCAACAATGCCTTCGCGGATAGCTCCACTTCAAAAGTTGGACCGGTTCACGGTGGCCTGTCTGACCTAGGAAGGGCTGCTGTCAAAGAGATGAACAGACTTGGTGCGCCACTTTACCCCTTCTAGTGACCCAGCTAATAGATCTAGGCATGATTGTTGATCTCTCTCACGTCTCCGAGGACTGTGCCAGCCAAGTTCTCGACCTCACACGAGCCCCTGTCATGTTCTCTCACTCGAACGTAAAAGGAGTATTTGACTGCCCCCGTAACGTTCCTGATCATATCCTCGATCAAGTACCCGCCAATGGCGGTATTGTAATGGTTACCTTTGTCCCAGAGCATGTCACAACGCGCCGACGAGATGCGAAGATGGAAATGGTCATTGATCATCTATTCTACATTGCCAATCGCATTGGCTGGGATCACGTTGGCCTTGGATCCGATTTTGACGGGATCGCTAGTGTCATCCCGGGTCTTGAAGACGTGAAATGCTATCCCCATCTACTGAAGGCTATTCTTGATCGTGGAGCGACGGAAGAGCAGTTGTCAAAGGTTATTGGCGAGAATATTCTTCGAGTTTGGGGAGGAGTGGAGAAAGTGAGGGATCAGATGAAGGCTGAGGGAGTGCTTCCAGTGGAGGATGTGTTTAAGGATCGGAAGTGGTGGAGATATGATGGGTATTATCAGATGGAAGATCCTGATCCTGAGGATAAGCTTGGACTTGACTGGTACGGTGTACCTCCGCCAGATGAGGGTCTATATCTCAAGGAATAGGGAAGCGTGAGGACTACAAGATCTCATCCGGGTTTGAAAGATTACAGCTTTATTTGGTCACAGGGGTGCCTCAGAGCGCAAAAACATACAACACTTTAGAGGAGGGTCCTCATATAAACTCAACAAAGAGTCCACTAAACTTAGGCTAAGTTACCTAAGAACTTTGGTAGTTTAGGCTCAAGGTCCTGAGTTTTCACACCTCCCCTAAGGGGGTAGCAAATTGAGAAAATGGAAATGAAGTAAAAGCTGTTTAATAATGTGAGTGAAAGTGATGAGCCACTATCAACGAGAGAACCTATCTCATAGACCTTTAATCATACCGAACCCCACATTCATGGCTTATGATGAAAGCTAAAACAGAGACCGACACTAAATCGCAGGCTCTACTGTCGTGGCTCAACAGGAGCCTCAAGCCTCCTGGACTCATCCTTCGGTTGGAAGACACCCTTGTCAGCCTCCATGCTGTTTCCATCTGCGCTGGGGCTGTGGTGAGCAGCATCAGTATCAGCGTGGCCACCCTCAAGTCCACCGTTGTCGACGATGGGGCGGTTGTCAATGGTCATTTGGGGAGCGACATCATACTTTCCATCACCACGATCAAGACGGTGGGATGGGATAAGAATGTTGAGGAAGCGAGGGGCAAGGAATGCACCGATGATGAAAATGACAACCATGTGCATAAGAACAAAGCTGTAGATGAAAGGGGGGTCATCGGAGTAGTTGTTGAGGAACTTGGGATAGGCAAAGGAGAACACGAGAGCCACAGCTGGGCCTGTAATATACTTGAGACAAATTGGCCATACCCAATGGATCTTCCAGTTCGACTTGCCCCCGAGGATGGCGTTGTTGAGATCGCGACGGATTTGGTTGCCCTGGTGTGAGGTTAGAGGTTGACTAGGAGACTAAGACTGGGGGAGATACGTACTGAGTAAAAGGCCGCATACCAGAAGCGGCTGAGAATAGCATTGTTTCCCCAGAATCGGGGAGCAGGGATAGATGGAGTCTTGCCAAAGAAGGCAGTGAAGACAGCGCAGCCGATGAAGATACCAAAGCCAACGCCAGCACCAGCTGGGGCGCTTACGAGGTGACCAATGAGAAGACCAAGGAATAGAGACAAAACATAGCCGCCATTGTAAACGAAATAGCTGATGAAACCGATCTGATCGACGGGATCCTTCCACCGGTAGAGCGTGCAGGCCATATACGTCTCTGACCAGACAGTAATGAAAAGAGCGATATCGTTGACGAAGGCATCGACAGCATCGAGGACACTAAAGCCAAATTCACTACTGTAGATGAGTGAAGTAAGAGCACCAAGGATGATGACGGAGGTAGAGATGATCCAGCGAGGAATGCGCTGGCCCATGTTGGTATCACAGAGGAGAGTGACAAGAACCTCGGCGAGGGCAAACACACAGGTAAGTCCAAGAAGGACCAGAGTGATAAAGAAGAGAGCAGAGAAAAAGTTAGATCCAGGCATCTCCGCCAAAGCCCGAGGGTAGTAGAAGAAGCCAGAGCTGAAGGTAGACAGAGGGTCGACATCACCGGGATTGATGCCGAGGTAGCCTACAACGCCCATGACAGCCAAAGCTGAGATGATCTCGATAGCAGAGTTACTGAGAGCAATGATAAAGGCATCTTGAACAGCGTTGGCAAACTTGTTGTTATAAGAGGCGTAAGAGGTGAAGTAGCCGAAGCCGACACCAATGGAGAAGAACATCTGTCCAAAGGCGTCTTGCCATACGCGAGGACCCTCGAGGGACTCGCTTCGCCACATGCCAACATATAGTGCAAAGCCATCGGAGGCGTTGGGAAGGGAGAGGGATCGGATGGCGAGAATACCAATCATTATGAGGGGAAGGGCCATGGTAATGTAGATGACACGGCCAGTGAGACCGACACCCTTGAAGGTACACATCCACACGACGAACCAGATCATGATGCACCAACCAAAGGTCTCACCAACGATGCCACGGCCGGGATAATGCTTCAGACCACCGCCGTCATCGGCACCTCCCGTAGCAGGAATGTTGCGAACAACCCTATTGCTAAAGAAATCCTCGGTGTCCTCTCCAGCCCAAGGCAGCGGACTCTGAAACGACATCCTGAAATAAGTCATAGCCCACGCCAGAATTGGAACATAGTATCCAACGACACTAAAGCCATTGAACACCATGCTCAGTCCGATACCCTTGGCACGATGGTTCACATTGTTCCATGCAATAACACACCCGCCACGATAGGCCTGACCGAGGGTGATCTCGAGAATGAGGATGGGAATACCGATGAGGAAAAGCGCGACGGCGTAGGGGATGAAGAACTGCAGACCATAGTTGTTGAAAACGACAGAGGGGAAGCGCAGCAGGTTTCCCAAACCGACGGCACCGCCCATAGCGCAGAGGACAAATTGCGAGCGCGAGTTGAAGTTATCGCGACCATCGTCATCCTTTGCTGAATCTGGTGCAAGCATGAGAAAGATTCTTTTGGCCATGCCTGGCTTCTGGCCCTTTTCGGCGACAGCCATGATGAACGGTTCTCAACAACGAAACTATTCACTGAGAAACTTATGACAAAATGAGGTATAAGTGAGAAGAACGAAGCTGACCGATCTCTCCACAAGGTGGATCGCGTCCCCTCGATATATACCCCAGAAATGCCCAGTCTCAATATCTCGCCGAGACGCGTACGATTAACAAGACGTTCATAATTGGATTTCCCCGGGGCAGCCAAGACACCTCAGCTTGTTTGCTTCAGACCAATTGCCCTCGATCTTGGCGGCGGCGAACCACTTTATATGACCGCCAAGCAAGCGCATCTCCAATCCGCAGCGCGTGCCAATGCGATACCCCATCTCGTGATATTCCCGCCAAGCGACATAACAGGAAGGCCAGAAAGAACCAACATTCCACGCCTCACGTGCGAGAGCCCAAGGATCAACAGACTCGCCAAGGAAATGCCAATGCTGTTATCTGGGGTAGTGCTTATCGACGGACTCTGCATTCAGCAGGTGCTTTTGTCAGTGTCAACAATAGCGCCTTGGTTTTGTGAATGTAGCGTCTTGGGGTTATTTCCGTTCCCCCGTTGCCGTTGGTATCCGATTATAACAGTCGCCGCCCTTTTCTTGGAACTTGTGAATAGCAGAACAGATAGGTCTTGGCTTTTGGGGATTCAGGCGAAGTTGGGGTTTTGGATTAAGGTGTCTTGGCTGTTTCTTGGCTGATAACAAACACAGATAAGCTGTCTGCTTATGCTTAAAAATGGATTACGACATATCGGGGCTAAAGATGCTGCCAAGATGCTAATCAGATAGACCTCATCGGTTGAACGCGGCCAAAATCATCACTCAACAAAGGATTAGTAGCTTGGGGGCGAAGAAGAGGAAGATTTGTTTTTGATGATTTGATGCTCGTCGTATTGCGACCCTAAATCACTTTTCTGGAAGGGCAGGTCGGTTGGCCGATGGAGTGAGCAGTCATGTTATGCCAAGTATATTCCCTTGGCATTACCGGGGAGACGTGACACTGATGTAACGCCGTGTATGAGTAAGACAGAAACGTAAGCGTAAACGAACATTGGAAGAAAAGAAGTGGAATAATTGTTGCCCGATAATTCAGGTCCTGCATTGATGGTGCGCGAGGTTAGGGGCTAAGCTTTCAGCCTTGCGGAGAACAGGTCAAGTTTCCATACATGGAGACGATACATGTTCATGCTCACGTGGACTTCTAGGTAGTATGAGTATGTAAGAACGGAGGACTGAAGATTTATGCAGAGCACTAACTGCTGGTTCTGAACGTTCGTCTATTTTCTATGCCTCTAGAGCAGCATCCTTGTAATTAAATATCCCAGCGGCATCCTATATATCCCTTCCGAAGGGACGGCTTTCGAGCGTGAATACATGTATACCATTGTCGTAAGTGTTGCTTGGAAATATCAAGAGAGGAGAGAACGAATAGATAAGAGTGTAGGTATTCATTCTAGATGTTCAAACAACTCAAAATCACCAGAATCCAGGGATCGGGTTGACATAGGTGAAGGTAGCCATGTCTCTCTTCGCGGATGAACCCTCAGGCTTGGGAGGTTTTGGAGGCTCAGAACCACTTATAGCCTCAATAGCCGCAGCGAATATTCCACAGCCAATCATGATGTTTTCATACGTCACTAGTAACAGTCAGCTGCATAACGTTCCTCATGTTCTGCCAAACCTACCTTCATTTCTCTTGAAGTGGCTTACCACCCGGTCACACAACCCCGAGGATTGTTTTTCACGCTTTTCATCGCCAGGACTTTGTCTGCGAGGCGAATAATTACGCTGCGTCTGTTGGAATCTATATGTAGGCGACATTCCGTTCTGATGAAGTCGGTGGGCTTGTTGCCTTAGTGGAATCGCACATGGAGCTCTGCTCAACAGGCGAGGCATCATTGTCGATATCATCGTTGGTAGTGATGCGCAGCTCGTGTACGTAGTTGAAAAGGTATGTAACCAGAGGCGATGTGAGCCAGAGGCCGATCTGCGATTGAGTGGCAGAAAATATTTTACATGGTTCACCTGAGTTGCCTCGAGGGGAAGATTGGAGGCGCCATCTTATATGTATGTGATCAAAGAATCATAATCAAGGTTTTATTTTATCAACTTTATACTAAAGCGATTGGTCAAGCATTTTAAAATATTATCCAAGCGTTGAGCCAGATGTGTCATCTGCAGTTAGACTTGCGGCTGAGAGCTTAAATCGGCACGGAGAACCTAGCCACAACGTAAGAAGTTGGCCTCAGGAGAAAAGGCAACAAGAGTGTAGGTTTACAAATTTGCTGTCTGGTGACTCTGTTAAAGTCAAAATTGACGGCAGGAAGTCTACGAAAGCCGGTGGGTGCAAACCTGGTTTGCAACTCAATAGATAGACTCCTTGTAGATATACCAGAGTGATCAAACAGACGACTCGCATTCCCTGCGCGATTTATACTTAGACTAAGTTCTGAACTACTGCTTCGTCTGCGTACTACAATGACTGCCCGATAAAACTTATCACATCCTTTGAATCATCCACGCACTGAAGCTTATAGCGTGCTTTGTCTGCGATCAACAGGGCGGACAATATCCCAGTGCCTAGCCCAATACGAATATTAATACGGAAATAAGGCAATGTTCCCCATTTATACTTCAGCTAATGCAGGGCGGGCTGTGAAACTAACTCCGTGACCGAAACTCCGCTCCGCAAGTTCAGCTCCGCTCGCAGCCTTGCATATATAAACCATCTCCCATACACAATATCCCCAGGTAACAGCTTTGTGGATCATTATTAAGCTTCTTAATCATGGGTAAAATCGCTGTCGCCGGTGGCTCGTCCGGTTTGGGCCGGACGATGGTTGATGCCCTCGAAGCAGCAAAGACTCACGACTACATCGTCCTATCGCGCAAGGCTACTGGTCCGGAGACCCGGGCTGTGGACTACTCTGATATCGGTGCTTTAACTTCACTTCTTCAGTCAGAGCAAGTCGACACGGTTATATCCATGCTTCCGATCGATAATGATGAGAGCGGACAAGCTCAAATGAACCTCATCGAAGCCGCTGAGAAGTCAACCTATACTAAGCGATTCTTGCCGAGTGAGTTTGGAATGGTCTACACAAGAGAGTAAGTGACTATGCCTATTGATACTATATAAAATTGTTAACGGACTATAAGTAACATCGCTCACGTCCCCTCTTACCAATGGAAGCTCAAGGCAGTAGACGCCCTTGAAAAGACCAATCTCGAGTTCTCCCTCGTCTCAATTGGCTTGTTCCTAGATTACTGGGCCGCGCCGCGCATCCCAACCCATATCCGTGCGGCAAACATAATTATCGACCCCGAAAATAACGCAGCAGTAATACCCGGGGACGGAAACACTCCTGTCGTCATCACCCACTCCACAGACGCAGCAAAGTATACCGTCGCTCTTCTCGATATCCCAAATTGGAAGCGTAGATATGCTATCGTAGCAAATCGCATGACTCTCAATGAAGCGGTTAAGCTGGCTGAGGAGGTTAAGGGCGTCAAATTTGAGGTTCAGTATTTCTCTGTGGAGCAGATGAAGAGCGGCGAGAATGATTTGACTCCGAGTATGAAGAAGGCGCTGCCGGAAGAGATGCATGGTGGTATGAAAGCCATGTTGGCCTTATCAGGAATAGGTATGGCTACAGGATCGAATGACATTCAGGGGATTGATGACTTGGTGCTTAAGCTTCCAGATATTAAGCCTGTTACTGTTAGAGACGTCTGGGAAGCGTGGAAATAAAGTCGAAAAATAGCGTCCATGTATTTTAGAATGAAAGGGCAACTAGCTTGCAATGTATATATAGGGATGTCATCGTCGAACGGCTAAAATCCCCATTGGCGACACCAGTTCTGCATGAGTTCGGGGGTGATAGGCCCAAGCTCTGTCATAGTCGGACTATGGCTCTTGGTCCTCTCCATCCCGTACTTAACCGGCTGAACCTCTTCTCCCACCACGAACATTCCACGATAAGTATCCAGAAGCTTGACGCCGGGGTTCTTATCAAAGTCCACATTCTCTTCCTTGGCACTAGCCTCCAACCTCTCAACCCATTCTCCAGCACTAACCAACTTCACCTTGTCACCATAGAAGTCTTTCACCGCGGAAGCAATGTCGGGCCAACTGGTCGTGGCAGGATTGACGCCATGGAAGTAGCCAGAAATCTCCGAGATAGGCTTTGGCACCGTGATGCCTGCAACGTCGAGAATAAGCCCAGCAATACCCTCGATGGGAGTCCAAGCAATCTCCTGTTGCCCGCCGAGATTGTCAGGCAGGACTCCAAGATATACTGAGCTTGCGATCATGCTTGGAATCATCTCTTGACGGTTCCACAGACCCTTCTCTCCCCTAGACCCCGCGATCTGCCCAACTCTCACAGAAACGGTCGGGATCCTAGAATCCTCGGCAGCTGCGTCGAGTATGAGACTCGCAGCAAGTTTGGATCGTCCGTAAGCCATGCTAGGCAAGGTAAGGTCATGCAGCGCCTTCTCAGGGACAGCGTCGGGTGACGACCATCTATCGACCGTTCCGATACTCGAGATAAAGATGATAGGTACGTTCTTGGAAGCTGCAGAAGAGAAGTCGACGAGATGGCGTACGCCTCGAACGTGGCTCTCAAATGAAGACATAGTGAACTTGAAGTTTACGGGCCAAGCGTTGTGAATGACACGGTCGACATCAGCGAGAAGAGATTCATACTTGGACTGACCCAAGCCAAGATCCGGAAGCGATAGATCGGCGTGGAGAAACTCAACTTTGGAGAAGTCTGTTGTCAAGCCGCGGAATTCGTTGACAGAGGGCTGTCGAGATAAACCACCATCGTCACTTCTGTTGAGAGCGATGACTTTCTTGACAGATGGCAAACGGCAAAGTTGATCAAGCATGTAAGCTCCCAAAGAACCAGTTGTACCCGTGACAATGATTGTTTGGCCATCGTCAAGGGGAGCCTGTTTTCCAGTGTTAGGCGCTGGGAGGTTCTTGGTATACTTCGAGACCTGTGCCTTGATCTGATTTATCTCTTGCGTCTCTTCATCGTCCTCAGTGGCTCCACTTCGCAGAGACTGGATATGCTCAGCCAACCCCTTTGCTGTAGGGTTACGGTAGATGACGCGCGGTGCGATTGTCGAAGTGTCAATACCGGTTCGATGCAAAGCACCCCGCAACAGGTTCGTCGCAGTCATCACTTGCAAGGAGTCAGCACCCACTGAGAAGAAGTCTGTATCCGGTTCGAGCTTCTCAACTCCAAGCTTAGTAACAAAAAGACTGATGATAGATTCTGTCAAAGTGTCGTCGTTACTCAAGTCAAGTGTGATAGATGGACCGTCTCGAAGCATCTCAGCCTTCTCGTATAAATCCGAAATGAAGTCGGCGTACAGTTTGACAGTCTTGCCACGCTGCACAGTGCCCTTGTCAGCGCGAGCAAACGGTAAAGCAGGGTCGGCAAATGCGACAAAGTTCGCGGCAATTCGTCCATGAGCAACGGTCTCAGCATTGGCCTTCTCGATTACCGGCCAGACCTTGTCGAGTAAAGCTTTTGCCTCAGCTTCGTCTCTCGGCTGTGCTTCTGCGATAGGCTCAATGATGAGAGCTGCCTGGAACATCCTCTGGCCAACTACAAGGGCTGACTTGATAAGAGGATGATCCGAAACAATACCCTCAATGGTAAGAGGGTTCAGTTTCTCGCCATTAGAGAAGACAATGATATCGTCGGCTCGGCCTTTGTAGAGCCAGTGATTCTTGAGCGTTGGGTGGGGTTCAAAGATGTCGTTGGTACGCCATTCGGATAATTCAGGGAAAGTGTAGAAACAACCTTGGCTACCAGGATCCGATGCCTTGCGACGGACTACAAGCTCATACTCGTTCGAGTCATGACGTTGCCAGTCAATGCCCATTGCTTCATCATTGAAGATGAAGTATCGCCATAGCTTGGGGTCTTGGGGACTATAAGGTGTCAAAGGGAAGAGTCTTGGTTCCGTCAGTTTCCGCGCAAATTGGGGTTGAAGAAGATGCTTACTCTGTTGATGAAATGACGTTCCTCAATACGACACCCCTATCTGCCAACATGTTCCCGGCCTCGGTTGAAAGGCTCCCTATCACAAAAGTCAATAACATACACAGACAGTAGAGACTGTATTGACTTGCCTCCTCCAGTAATAAGGAGTTTGAGCTTGGCCAAAGCTTCCATACCCTCCCCAGAAGCTGCCAACTCATCGATAACAGAAGGGGGCAGCATTGCACCATCAGCACCACTATGATTCAAGTACTCCATGGCTGTATCAGCATTCAAAGGCTGGTTGGGAAACGGCATAACCGCAGAGAGACCAGTGTATATGAAGGACAGAGGAAGATATGTTCCTGCAGCATGGTACATGGGCATACCCATGAAGATCTTGCTCGCCCGTTCTGTCCATTCATTAAACGGATATGGAGAATCATGAAACTTGGGCAGAGCAAGATATTCTTCGAAGGCGTATAGGATACCCTGTTTCAAGAAGACGGGCTTGGGAACTCCGGTGGAACCGCTGGTGTGAAGCACAACAAGGGGGTTCCAGCGCGCCTGTTCCATAGTTTTGCTGTACGGAAATGGATTGGGAGTCACTGACATAAGATGATCAATACTCTCTATCATGGTAACTTCCATTGTTCGTTGATCGAGGCAGGGCTGCATAACCGATCTGAACGACTCCGTTGTATAAAGGTATCGACAATTCGTGGCTTCGAAAAGGGAGAGCTGAACGGCGGGGGTATTTCGTGGAGAGATGAAAAGGGCCTTGCAACCTGCCTTAACACAAGCCAGTAGAATGACCGTGTATCGAAAGTCACTGGGGCCGATGTATGCCACGGTTGGGACCTCGTCGTTTGAGGATTTGGTAACGGTTTTGGAGATATCATGGGCGAGGTAGTCGACGGCGTTTGCGAGTTGACGGTGAGTCACTGGCTTCCAACCATCAAGAATGTCAGATGATGATGGAGTATAAGTAAAAGCTCGATCAGGATCGTTTGCGGCAATCTCGTGAATAAGTTCGATCAAGACATGATGTTTGACGTTTGACTCATTGTTGACATGGTCTTTCTCAATGGCATTATCGGCTTGGCTTGACGCACCGCCTGAAACGGGGGCGTCGTAGTGCTCTATATCAGCTCGCATAGCCATTTTCTGTAATAGAATGATGGGAGAAAAGAGTTGATAGTAATTGTGTCAGAGTGTTGTTTGCCTGATATTCTTTTTGGGGACTGGTTTCTCACATCTCTTGACGGCATAACGTCTGGATATAAATATCGGAGGAATATTTCTCGTACGGATATACATCTATGGTAGCCTCAATTTCGCTCCTTAGCGTATCGGGACGTGGATGGTGGCTAAAATGGGGGCATACAACTCGCGCGGATTTTCCACGGACGGCATTGCTGCCACACGGAGATTGGGGATCTACATTTAGCCCACTGAGTGCCGACTCAAGCCGTGCAAGGGTCACTATTTAGTCAATTTTCTCCGAGAATTGTACGAGAAAGGCTGTATACCGATAGATATGAGTTTCGTATATGCCTCAGCGACACACAGAGCTCCGTTGGCCGTATTATTCCCGCTGTGTTTCGTCACCAAATACGTACTTTTGATCCATATTAGTCCATCAAACGGGTGAGAGCTCCATAATTCCCACTTATTGTGTCATTCTCGATGTGTTCGTAGTCAAGTCAGTTTCCTTGAATTTCATCTCGCTCGGACCCTTCTCCGTGTAGATCTTCAGCACCAAATCGGGGTATCGGTGCTATACAACAGCCGAGATGGATACAGTCCATCACATCGGTATTAACAAGAGCCGACTGAAAGGGGAGAATGCAGATCATCGCGTCGCCGCCTGTTGAAAGCGTAGAAACGAACAAGTGGGTGTCGTGACCCACTTCATGTTGCCGGCATCGAAATGACGAGTCACCGGTATTTGCTTTTGGCTGAATCGTAAGACTCGCATGTAAAGCACTGTTTATAAAGTGCAATTTATATTTTAATCCGTAATGGCGGGTTTAGACGGTAATATTGGCTACGAAAATTATACGTTACATCGAACTGTATCTGGAGTTTAACTCTGTTTTTTGAACTTTAATATATTACGGCTGCATTAGGAAGAAAAATAGCATATCTACAAGTATACAGAAACCTGCTTAACACTTACGATTGATCTCCGTTTTGCAACGGACTTTGTACTTTTGTCAGATTTTCAACCCTCAACTCCAATCAGTAATCACTGATTCTTGGTGTAACCCGAGATGAGGCTTGCGGCTGAAAAATGGCCATGCAAGGGCCCAATCACTTGAAGCATTTATTTATTTATGGAAGATCGAAGCGAAGCTGAGAAATAATTATCGAAGTATTTCTATCGTTGCTCTGCCTTATATTTTCCTCTTCAATCTTCTCCGTTCAGGACAAATATTACTCGAGCACCACACCTAGGCATATTCAGGCCAGGAACCTTTGAGTCTGAGCATGGATTGTTCACCAGAAAGGCTCAAGAACCTTGTTCAAAATGAAGAGGTCGAATTTGATACTGATATTTGTGGGCCAGGAGTAGGTGGATTGACAGTCATTCAGCAGACAAGAGCCAACTAACCGTGACCAGGTACTAGCTGCTTTCATTATCACGTCGTTGATAGCATTAGCTACTTTGATTTTAGCCCTTCTTACAATCTCAGTACCTGCAAGTCTTCAAAACACCGGAGACACCATGATCGCTACTGGGGCGCGTCGGACTTACCACCGATTGAGGGCCAAGTTCACCAACACTCGACGCACCAGCATTGTCCAAAGCAGAGAGGAGCGTACAAATGCCTTCACGGGCTTCATGATTGCTATAAGTGATCAGATACTTATCTCTCAAGCGTCCATCCTAATCGCAGCTCTCATTATTCGCAACGAAATTACCATCTATTCCAGCAATATTGTAATCGCCCTAGGATGTCTCGCATCAACAGTTCACTTGGGCAGTTTCCCATTCTATATGGACCGCATGAAGGACCATAGCTCTGCCAAGCTTATTCGTGTACTTGCTATGGCTGCCGGCTCGGGAATACTTGTCTTCCTGCTCGTTATTCAACTATCATACACCTGGGATATGGAGAGCCACGTTTACTTTACTTGCACTCTTCAAGACTACCGAGTGAGGACTGGAGCAGGGGCAGATAAAATCAGTATAACGCAGGTATTTGTTCCATTAACAGTGCTTTATGGTACGTATGAGACTGTTCGGTTTCTCTACCGCCATCAGCCAGTAGATGAGAAACCCAATGAACCTGGTGCCCGCAGTAAGTCAATTGTTTCTCGACAGAATTTATCAGGGCTCGATGACCAACAGCCCCCAGACAATGGAGTTATCGAACTCCAAAGGCTTGGAACCCTGGAACACCAAGCTAGGACACAGAGCAATGTGGATTTTAGCAATATAGAAGTCGAAAGGCAGGCGATCGTTTCACTTTTGCAGCTAATCTCAGGTAGCAACATAGAGATGACGACAGACAACGAGACGGACTATCGACGCCAAAGATTCAGGCTGTTGAAGTCAGGGGTCATAAAGATTGAATTCAAAGAGCAACTGAGTAAAATTAAAGAGTCCAAACGAGAGCAACTCTTGAACGAATGGCTGAAGCTCAAAGCTCTTACTATCTTAACCTCAAAGATAGTGTCAACAGGAAAGCTTAGACTCCTTGCGAGATTGACGGCTGAAACGTGGGCGTTCCACCAATGTCGCGGGTCGTTCGCCTGGAGATTATTCTGGCTCTGGTCAGGTAATGTCTACGGGATTGTAACTATTTTAACTTCGCGAGCTGTCACAACGGGCATGTCAGGCAATCCCAACAAGATGGGATTCGGCCAAATTGTGCCGCTAACTCTGCTCGCACTCCCAATATTTGCGGCTATGGAGGGCCGCGCCGGTAATGTTTACTCATGGCTCTATTCAAAGGTACTCTCTGATGATAGAATCTAGGCTATAAGCAGAAACTCAAGTCAATTGAGAAAGCTCGTGTTGATCAAGCGACTTTCGAAACACCGGTTACTGGGAACCTGCGGTCTCAATCGAGGGGTCAATCCCATGCGCAGAGACAAAATACGCTTGCGGAGATAGACATCGCAAATATTAAGACCGTGCAAGATGCACTCAAAAAGCGTTCCAAGGATATTGGATACCCGGAGCTTTACAATTGGGTGACAGGAGACGATTTGACCAGCGCACCGACTCTCCAAATGGCAGTTGCGATTCATGCAGCACTTATGTTTACCATCGCAACTTCACTCGGCTTTTCGATGGCTTATGACATAGCCAACTTCAATATTACATTGCTCACATTTCTGATTATTCTTGTCGCTCGTAGGCTCATAGGCCTCAACTTGGTTGAATCGGACATGAGCTCATACCCCATGATCCTCGACCATCTCGGTTGCACTGGTCATTTACCCAACCCATTATCTGGAAGCCAGGATAAAAGGATGGCAGTAGCGCAGGCGGCTGGAGACGCTGGAGAGGATTTGGGGGACCGGGTAGGAGAAGAAGAATCGTGACCATGAGTGCTCTTTAACTTTTTCAAGGTGCTTTCTTGACAATTTTACTAAGATGTCTGCTCATCTTCACTTTTATGTCACTGCTTTTACGCCAATGTACTTAATTCATATGACCTCTATAAAGACCCGCAGTAGTGCTTATGGCTAAATGTATTACTATCTCTCTAGTATTTGAACCTTTATATAGCAAGCTGCTTGCTAAATCGTATGTAGAGTTCTAGGAATTCAGTCCTTCTCATCGACACCCACCAAAATCCAGGTGCCTTTGTTTCCGTTCTTGTCTGCAGCCTGAACTAGCTGAGATCCGTCTGCCCCTCCTGCTTTCATTAGTATAAGATACGTGGAAGCGATAGAATGATTCACCAGTGATAGTGACTTGAGCGCCGTCAGGAAAGGGAATGCCAGCGCCGACCGAGTAGGTGGTCGGTGCTGGTGGGGGTGTCTTGTAGGTAATGACCGCCTTTTTGGACTCGCCGGAGTATGTCTTCTCGCTAAACTTGCTAGTGTTGGGCAGCTCTTCGCCCTTGTCGGTGAGAAATAGATCAATCGACTTGACGGTTGGGTCGCAGTCGACCTTAATGTAGTTGTTGGTGAATTTAATAGTCGCCATCTTGGCCTAAGTCTAGGCAGCAAAGATATAAGATAACAGATGAGGGTGGATGGAGAGTTGATGAGTAGGGAACGATACTGAAATATTGATGGGGAGGTTGTGATATATGTAAGTACCTAAATTGCTAGCCAGGTTACTCTGTAGCTGTTGCCGTGGATGGGTGACGGGGCCCTCTGTCACGCTGGCCTTGGCAAATTTCGCTGGTCACACGCCTGATTTGACGAACAATAACACTATGGGCAGGGAGGTGTGTATTAAAAGACGCAATGTGGCATACTTAATTATATTGAGTTCTTTCATTTTCGTCCAGCCCAATCATACTCGTAGGTAGTTCGGCAGAATCTATAATCTCTTTTGTCTCATACTCCTACGTGTATAGCCATAGATGATGTCTAAGCGGTGGAATAGTCTCGACAATGGATTGAAAGGTTGACGCCCCTCCAACTTCTTAGCCTCTTCATTCTCCGCATACGCTATGTAAGTTCCTTGTCGAGTCCTGAGGTGCTTATCGTCCTTGTATCCCTGATGGCTTGCTGAAGAGGACTAATGGTGTCCAAGGGCGATGCAACCACAATGTCTTACTGGTTATAGGTTCGAGCCTCTTCAATACAGCGACTAATACTTTAGAACTAGTATCAACAGAACGTAGGGATTCGTTTCCTCGTTGTCTCTTAGTGATTGCTATCACAACGTGGCGCTGAGTCTGCAGCAGTTTGCCGGATGATTGCGATCCGAACCGCATTACTACATCTTCGGATGGCCCTATTGGCATAAATTGAGGGTCTAAAAGCCGTCTTATACTCAGAATATAAGTGGAGAGCTGTGACTTGACCGCCCAGCGCTTAGCAGTACCGACAGTGCTTCTTTTTGGCTAGTGTTGGCTTACGGCCAGAGATCTATAGAATATGCTGAAATGACAGCTGAGATCGGGATATCGAACGGTGTGTCACTTACAATAAGTTCTCTAGAGTGATTTAAGCCAATCACACGTGCATGCTTAGTTGTACAAGAGCAATGTGCATATGGTCTAGATGGGATATGCGGCATTCATATTTGTGGCTTTTGGTCCCGTTTACCCTCCGGCGCACAGGATGGCGATTATTCAGGGGTGGCTTGAGACTCTGCATTGAAAGAATCAAGTGGGCACACGAGGTATCAATCCTTTCTTTTTAGAAACCCTTGAGAAAGCCCTTAGGATGCTTGTTGTATCGACCTTATGTCTATAACAGATCTTGTTTATTCCCCACATATGGCAAGATAGAATAAGCCAGTCTCAGTGGATGAGATATCCGAACCTGGCAATATCGGCTTGGAGCAGCATCCCAAAACACGAAAGGGCCTTTCGAGGGTGTCACTATCAATGGTAAGAGTGGTTCCCCATGTATCAATTATACGCGGCTTTCTACGAAATACGAGGTGCTGCCACACAGCTCAAAACATGAGAGGTTATGAGTTCAATAGGTTAGTTCGGATGCGGGATATTAACAAATATTGGCACTAAATAACTTACCCGCTTTGCGGCGATTGGTCGCAGTCGAATTCCGCTACCTCTTGGCCCAAAAAGAGCAACTCATTAGTATTGAGGCGTCACAGCGACAGCTGAAGCAATTCTGCCTTCCCGTCACGATGCTAGTGTGGCGAGTTGGCCGCCCGCCAAATGACGATACTCGGTAGGTTCAAACCCCGGGTGAAACAGTCTAAGACTTCATTCACAGACTCAACTGAGCAGTTGGTGGTCCACGATGAGAAACACGCCGACCAGTTAGAGTTATCCATGTTGCTTCACTACGCTATAAAGACAGCTTTCTGTACATGTTTATGGAGTCAAAACAAGATTCATGGCGGGTTGAGTTTACAGTTGAATATTCACCAGTCTTTTGACCTCACATGGGAACACAAAATATATGCGATCCTATCACCGCCCCAAGTAGTATTGACTATCATATGCTGCCATGGAGGTTCCTCAATATCTTAGGTCCATCACGTCCCCAAATTGTAAGCTCAAGTATACTTTATACTTGCTACGTTGTTGTGGATGCTACTTGCTGATGTGATCTTCTCTGTAGATCCACGGGCCAGAATGAGTGGTGATAATACTAAAGCTCGAGGTGACGGCTTTCTTCGCTCTGCAGTTCCAACTCCTCGCCAAAACACTCGTCTTCAAAGAGACACAGGCCTAGACAGCATCCAGAGCCGCCGCAGTATTGACCAGGGCAATATCCACCCTTAGCGAGAGCCCTCGCCTCTTCAAGAGTTGTCTTGGCAAGATCTCCCTGGAACATTTCGTTAGCAAAGACATTCTTCAAGACTTCAACACGCAGTAGGGGAAGGGAGCGGGGGGCTTACCCTGTAAGCCAGAAGGTTCACGTCTCGAGTCTCAAATGAGACAAAGTTCCCGTAGTCCAGGCTGTCATCAATTTCCCTTGCGGAGTCGGATAATTCATCAAGAGTCGAGCTCTGGCAGACGTTGATCTTGTCGATAATCTTCTGCAGCTTTTCTGGTAGGCATGGAACACAGTTGCACAGCTAATGTAGAGGATGATTTAGCAGATTGCTCATTGGGACTGGCTAGATGCGTGACATACCTCTTTCAGCTTGACAGGACACTTCAAGATGGGCGCTTTACACTTGCATGTACCGGCAGCTATGATACAGGGCATAGCCTTGATAATCGTCTTTGCACACTTCAAACCACACCCACCTGCTTTGGATGTATCCATACCCCTTTCTGAATCAATGCCAACCTTGATGAACTCGTTTGCGAAGCGCGGGCCCACTGGTTTCGATTAGACTCCGAGTTCTGAGATGATATTCGCATATCCAAACTTACAAGCAGCGATCAGTCCTTCCTCAATATCTGCTGGAATCACACCAGTTCGAGCTTCCGGGAGCAAGGGCACAAGATGACGTTCATCTCGTCGCTTCCAAGCTGGCGCGTCAGACTTTCCGTCGTCCAGAACCATTTGGTCCTGCTGGCTACCAGGATTGGCGCTTTTTGCATTCGTATAGACGTTCACGTTGAGAACGGTCGCAAATGCCGACGATGCGAGTACAAGGGAGGCAAAGGTAATTGTGTAGAGCATTTCGCAATGCTTATGTTTAGTCTTAGTTTAACCGTGAAAGAAAGTAAGCAGTTGTGGAGAGGAAGAACAGTAAGTCAAGTGTTCGTAAGGATGTAGACTCAAGTTGAGCGTTGCATGAACTCCAACAGGATGATGGCTTTCTCTATATGCATATCTGGGCCCGAAATACTTCGGTCACTCCAAAGTCTAATAGCAGTAACAGCAGGAGATGAGGCACCTAGTATAACACAGAGGATCAAGAAATATGGCTGGCTGAAGCAATTATCCCTGTGTTAGTAGCTTATCCTTAAACGGATCGTCTGCGCTAGCATTATCAGTCTGGTCATGCGATTATGAAGTCATCGAGATGTGACGGCGAAAAGTTATTGCTATCAATAATGTGATTCGGCCGTGTTATCACTATCATTGCGGTGCTTGTCAACAGAGCATAAAGCCTACTTCCCTGGGATAAACAGAGATTAACTTGTGACTCAAGTTAGTCATTGCATAATGACCTGTTAATTATCCCTGGCGCACAAAATAACGTCTGCAACTATCGATTCTCTGTGCATAGTTCTCGTAACATCTCTTGGCTTTCTCAAACCAATACACACGTCCAGACAATTACAGAAGCAGCTTTCAGCTCGCCACCTTTGGCGAGCTATACTGTGTTCTGAGTCTCATGTCACTATCATTGCCCACTCCCTTCGACCAGGCTTGTCCGATTGGGGACCAGCTGATCATATGAGCTGTGATATGCGGATCTAAGAATGTGATATTGGACGCGTCTCGCATAATTAGCGGCATCGCCTCGCTCTCGGCATTTGTGGGGTTTCCTATATCAAGGATTTCTCTCCGAGGTGGCTGGTGTGGTATGGTATACCGGACAAATCAGTCCGGTCTAGAGTCTACTTGACGGCATTTCCGGAACCATTCCAATAATAAGATAAGTTTAAGTCTTATTTGGAGCTAAAGAGGTGTGCTACCATGAACCTTCTCATCCTGCATGTTTACAGAAACAGATGATATGTAGGTTTCCTGCCTGATAACCAGGGTATTAATTGGTCCAAGAAGTTTTTGCAGGCCGTGCATTGCATGAATCCGATATCAAGTACAAATTTGTCAGCGGAAGCGTGGCAAATCACTTATTATTAGATACATGTACCTGAGACTTGTTCTTTCAGCTACCCAAGTTGCCAATGCAACCAAAATCATGAGTAGGATGCTTATTGCGAGGCGCCGACTAGATAGACAAAATCTCAGCGCCAGTAGTTATAAAAGAACGGCTTCCGTATGGCTTTGAAAACAGGTTATAATTCTCCATCTGAATTCAATACCACAAAACCTCGTCGTTGAAAATGAACCCACTTCCTCCACCAACAACCCTCCATGATGCCAGAAGGCAGATTCGTATCAGGCACCTTGAGCAATTGTCTCATGCCAACATCACTTTGACTCCTCCCCCAGATGGCGATGACACTTTGATTTTGCCATCTTGCAACATTCTGCGTAAGGAGTTGAAGAAGTGGTCACAGGACCATATGAAAAGCATCCAAGAAGCGATCTCAAAAAGTAAGAGCACATGTAATAGTTTGTTTCTGACGTACAGGAAACTGAATATTCTCGGTAGAAGTCCTCAGTGGCAAAGAGAATATCGACTGGAATTGTTGCTTTTTAGCTTTTATGGAGAGCATGACTGTCTATCTGAGGTTGGTAGAGCACCTATGAAACATTCTGGCCTCGCTGATAATAGATATCATGGATCTAGAGACTGGGATATACTTCACGAAGCAGTCCAGCTGTATAAAAGTGTCAAGGCCGGAACAAGTCCCACTGGCGATCTACACCAGGTTCATGATCTGTACGAGCAATCAGTAGAGGGAATCAAAGAAGTCGTAAGTCTATGATTCTCCAGGAGATTTGGATGTATGCCCTAACCTTGATACAACAGGCGGCTGTCTGGGGCATGGATTTTATGCAAATCTGCGGTAAGTTCATTCGGTCGATGTCCCTCAGTCATGATGATCAAGCGCATGCGTATTTACAAACCGGAAGATCTCACCAAGGTAAAACCCTTTTTTCCACACTTTATCGCACAAAATATACTGAAAAAGGCGCATCAGGGTCACAACGACAAGAACCCCAAATGGAACGGGCCTTTTTGTGGTGCTTTCTTCCCGAAAGACCATGAACAGGGCGCTCCTTATGTTGGTATCACATTCAAGGTCAGCTACACATCACCCTGAATCGGAAGGGTCTGCTGATTCAATATGTCTAGGGGACCGATCCGAAAAACATCAAAGACATCAATGTCGACTCCTCATTCGACCCTGTTCAAGTAGACGCCAAACATCTTTTCGGAACAGTCGTGTCTGAAGGCGTGTACAACGCACTGTTTGGAACTTTCAATAACAAAGACAGCGTTTCACCATTCGGTGAGATATGTTGTCCCCATATCGCTTTGTGTATGCTGACAATCGTCTGTTTGATTCAAAGAGCTTATTCTTAAGGCGCTCCAAGACCTTGTACCAAAGCTCAATGTCGAAGATAACACTGAACCTCTTCTTCATGTTACAGTCTGTACTTTCCTCTTCGCAGACCTCATATCATACTAAGATTCTCTATCTACAGGGCCATTCTCTCGGGGGCTCTTACTCTAGCTTCTGCTTCGCTCAACTCATGATGCAAAATATCAGTTTGCCTGCTGGGGCCCAACTCGGTGACCTCTACAATTTTGGAAGCCCCCGAGTCGGCCAGAAGGCCTGGTCTCAAGCTTTCTACGAGAACCTTGGCGGTAAATTCCCTGGTGGTGCCTGGAGAATTGTCAATGATAAGGATATCGTGCCCCAGGTCCCTTCGTTGCTTAGGTACAAGCCCAAAACGGGCCCATTCTACCACATTGACAACGGGATACAGATTTCCAAGGAAGCTAAACCTCAGCCAATCGAAACTGAGAGAAATGGCGCCGGAAACGTAGACATAGGGTTGACTCGGATTGGGTTTGTCAGAAAGCTAGCCACGGAGAAGTATCACTGTAAGTTTTATCGCGACTTTAACCATCTAGCCAAGTCATCTACTAAATTTGATATCTAGATCCGCTCTCATACTATCACGCTATGGAGTATGCTCTTGCCAGTCAGTAGCTAGATATCGCACTTTTGACACAGAAGAGGTCTATACATATTATAACGCCTAATCTATGTTTTTAAAATGATTTAAAAGCAAAATATCTCTGTAGCAATATGCAAGATGTAGCTGACAGGTCTAAGATAGTAAGATAACACAATAAGATGCTTATTTTCAGCATAATATAGCATAAGATATCATGCACCACGCCAAAAGAAAAAAGACATATGACCTTAATCTAAAGTCTGAATAGGTCACACAACTGTTGCCTCGGACCTATATCTATAAATACTAAGCCCTTGCCTCCCAGAGTCAATGTAGCAACAATTGGACCAATTTGATCATATTTAAAGCATAGTTGCCTTCAAATTGTCGAGTCTTCAGGGAAGAATAGAAGAAAAGACACATAGCTGGAATTTTCTGACTTTCAAGGATAGCGCAACGAGTGCCAGCTGGTAAAAGGAAGTGGTTGCCTGATTACAGCCCCTTTAATTAAGCTTCAGGCAGGGCGGAGTAGAATGATAAACCTGAATGTGAGTGACGCTGAGCACGGCCGTGCGCTTTGTCGGTTGTAGGTGGGTAGCCAGCCAAACGGGTAGCCGGGACAAAGCGACTGGCCTCTCATTGCTTCACAGCATGAGATCTTCTCCGGCGCGTAAGAATGATAGGTAGCAAGGAGACTCTGCCTACGCAGCTGGCGGGGAGCTTCGCCGCGTGGTAATCATGATAGCCGAGTCATGCGCCGCTTTGAACAACGATTTGCGCCAAGAGCAATAGGTGTAGTCTGTACCAGGTGGACAGATTACCAGGGTTGCTATGACCTAGACTCTCTTACTTCAAGTCACTGCTATCAGGGAGTCCATCTGTCATATCCTGCAGTCACAGCCTGACTCGTCTGAGTGAAAGATGCAACTTCAATCACAGGCATCAAACTATGATTCACGCGAAAGGTATAGCCAGTCAAAGTTTTAAATAGATTCCTGCACCTGCAGCCAATAATGATCCCATCATCGACCAGTTCACGATAATAGTAGGTAAGGATAAAACGCCATGCCATCTCAAGCTTCAAATCGTAGTTCACTCCTAGGCTTGCCGGGAACAAACCCTGCTGCATCATCTTGCATCTAACTGAGAAATATCAATTCCTTGAAAGGGTAAGACATGCAGGAAGCTATCTCAAGTTATGTTTCTTCGTATCGCCAAATGAAAACAGATATCTTCATGAAGTGACGGGGAGGCGGCAAGTGGGAGCCCCGGCAGCTGAAAATACGCCAATTCATCAAGGCCAGATGTTTGGCCGCGTAATGCTGTCAGATAACAACTGTCGCGGAGCATGCGTAAACGTATAGTGACAAGAATGTGGCTAGCTGAGAATCCAAGAACACGCTTGGTAATGCGAGAAGTTATACGAAGCTGCCACGTTTCTCCACCTCTTCTACCTACAACCTTACAGACAAGTCAGTGCGCCGGGCGGCAACAGTAGAGCTCTTAACCATCCGTCATCACATCACAAGCTAGTCTGCACTTTCTGGGCTAATAAGCAATTTCCTTTCCGGCGGCCCGATCTTGGCTAAAAGTTTGTGATGTTAGTGAGGTGCGGGCGGCTCATTACAGCTAGCTCCGCTACCTCGGGGATAAATTCAACACCGAACTTGAGATCAACTACACCAAAGAAGAGATCTATCAAAGTACTCGTATTTGGGTACAGAGAAGAAGATATAAAGTATACTAATAGACAAAGAAAATGCTGGTAATTCTGAAAATCGTATTATATATGATAAAAATAAAGAAAAGAATTTACATCATATAGAGAAATCTTATCTAAGTACTCAAGTTTAGTGTTTTACTTCCCCCTTAGCCTATGTATCCTTTTTTTCAGTTGTGGTGATTATGAGAAATACAGTTTCACTATTTTAAAAAGTCGTACCATAATGGTCCGATACCTTTCGGCACAGGTTCGCGAATGGAAATGTGATATCTGTGATAAAAATGACCATCTGCATGTGGCGCTAGCTGTGAGTAGAAGCTCTGCGGAGAGAAGCCAAAGCTACCGTGTCTGGACTCATTTTCGCTCAGCTGCTATTGGCTCAGCCAGATCTGTCAGTACATACTTTATAGGTGGCTAGCTAACTAAGTATAACGTAGTAATATTTGAGATGATGGGGCTGGGGGTTGCCCGAGCATGTACGGATGCTGACTAACTTATCGCATGTAATGTGACTACACCCACCTCGCTCGGCGTGGAACGATCAAAGAGTTTGCGGGGATTTGAGACAGTTTACCTTGAATACTAGCCAGAAACAGATTTCTCCATATATCACGTTCCTACTGACCCATTGATCCTTAGGATTGTTGTGATCTGTGCCCAGAATGGCTCCTCCGATCGGACAAAAGGGCTCCAGCACGGATTATACTACTGACTGATGGGACAATTGCGTATTTTCAGGATATTTCTAGCATTCTGTTGGTATTGAGCGTCTTTCAGGGTTCCTGTGGTAGGTGGACGTCAAAAGGCGTGCACTCCGACCCTAAGGGCACTGAACTTGACCCATCTTCCAAGACATGTGCAACAGAGGCAGAAGGCGCCTACTTGCCTCTTCTATTCGCCAAGAGTTCCTGTGGTATGCTACGGCGCTAACAGGGTTCTCGCGGGCCGGTCTCTACACATATGTTCAGGATAGGCCTCGTGCCGACCCCTTGTAGTCAATTCGTCCTTGATCGCTTCTCAGCTGGCCACATTATCATTTTTCTAGCCAAATAGGGGTAGTAAGTTCTTATCAAAGTTTCTCAGTCAGTTAATTCTTCGATAGTCGCTTCTTAGCTTATCACATTTTCAGCTCTCTCTGTCAGTGCCCTCTTCAATAGTCGCTTTTCAGGTCCCAGTTGAGCAAAAGATCCTTTTGATAACCCAAGTAACACACTTTTGACAACACATCCACATATATAAATGAGCAGGTCGCCAGCACCGTCGTAACCCTGTGTTCTTACAACCATCCGCTCCAAACATATTATTCTTTTCTCCAAGAAATCAACATGAAAATCACCAATTCGTTTTCGTCGCTGTGCCTTATGTGCCTGATTATAGGCTTGACGTTTATAAAGTCCACTGCTGCTGGCTGCTGCCCTTGTAATATCTACTTGACTTGTGGAGACCAAAGTGGTTGCACGGTATATGAGTGCTGCAGTACTGCTGCGTGGTAAGCCATCGCCTTCGCAGCTTGTGTGCTGAACAAATTACTGATTTTCGTCTGATTAGCAACATTTTCTGTTGCAACTGCGATGGACCCTGTAAAGGCGGGAAATCGAATGAGCTGTCTGATGCGAAGACTGAGAATCTCTGCCTGTAGGTTTAGATCTACAATGGGTGATTTAAACTAACATAAATCGTTGCAGGAGCAAATTTAACGCTGTTGATGTGAATCAAGATGGCCTGATCAGCTTCCTAGAGTGGGCGCAAAGTCGTGATGCCTTCGCTAGCCTAGGCCTGGACGTCTTAGCTGAAAGATGGAGCCAATACGACTGGGAAGGCAAGGGATACTTGACCAAGGATGAAGCTATGAACCGACGAACCGCTTCATCAAGGCCCGACTCTGGTAAGTTTCCACGAATGCCGCCCGTACATCAATGCTAAAGGGTTCTCAGATATCAAAGACACTAGCATGGTCCAGCAGCCGTTTGGCTATCAGCCAGGACTTCAACGAAACCTGAAACCCAACGATCTTTCACGAGGCGCTTGGACACTTCAATGGTTTACTGACGACGACTGTTCCAAGGGCAAGCACCGGACCGAGGACACGAAACCAAAAGGGTGCTCAAATATTGCTGGTGCAAGAAGCATTAAATTTACCGCCACCCAAGGGTTTTCTCTCTACGTATACGGTAGACAGAACTGCAACGGGATCCCCAGAATTATTCCCAGCAACCCCGATTGCTACCCGCTTAATGTAGTGGGACTGAGCTATAAGGTTATGGGCTAGGCTATCTTATACAGAGATGCGGTGTAGGTGCAAGGAATGAAGTGGTTTTTAACTTCAGAACCTCCGCCTCTTATAGTTACTCACTCGTAGCTCAGACTCGGCTCAGCTCAAAGCTGGGACTACTCAGAATTGGCAAGGGAAGAAAGAGACCTGGTCGATATTCTCTTTCTGTATCAGGCTGTATCTGAACTTTAACTATACTTTATTGAGCTCTACCTAAGTAAAAAGAAAAGATAATTCTCCTACCGGGTATATTTAATCGGTTTAATGACTGTGAAATCTCCAAACAGTGTGGGAGGCTAGGTAATAACTTGTTACATACTAGGATACCGAATTCTGCCCATTCACCTCCGTCAGGGTGAAATACCTCAATAACCCGTTCTCACGTCACATCTGTCATCAGCACCTCCGTTCAATATTTCTTATTCCCTCATATACCGCTACCAATTCCCATTCTCACCCATCCCCGACATTCCCCAGTTCATCGAGCTCCAGTTAAGTTGATTCATATTCACCGTCAACGGCGCGCTACCTGCCATATACGGTGCCGAGGTAACGGGGTCAAACCCAGGCTGCCCACCCATGTCGAAGAACATGCCCGGGTCACCAAACCCAAACGGCATCTGAAGCTGAACACCGTCCATCTCCATCCCAGCATTACCCTGAGCTCGAGGTTCGGTTGGCTCATTTCCTTGCAACGACATATCCGCGATCTTTCGGTTAATAACGTCTACCAGCTCTGGTGTCTCGATATCCCTTTCTGCTTGTTCATGGGCCTTTTTGACCGTGTCCCAGGCGCCCAGAACAATATTCGCAAATGGCTTGAAGATGGGGTGCCATCTGTCGACGGATGCTCCCTGAGACCGAGCTTCATAATTGTCCTTCATGACTTTCCATCCCCTTTCCGCAATGCTGCTGAATGGCTGGGTTTTCAAGTGCTGGATGATTCTTATGTAGGCTGGAAGAGGGAAGTAAAGCTGTAGAAACCATCGAAAGCCTTTCGTTAGAGGTGAACTTGATAATTTTTCGTCGCATTCTAGCCAATCAATGGCGTAGGAGACTGCCGCTTCGTGGTTTGCTTGGTTGTATGTAGCTGATGATTCGAGATAGACGAGGAAGTCGTTCATTAGGCGGCATGTTGCGATACTACCCCTCGCCGTCCACAGGGTCATGTAGTGAAGACGGTTGTCGGCATCACAGAACTTGAGGTACTTCTCCTCGATCATTCTTTCTAAAGCAACATCTCCACCTTCGGGAAGCTTCTTGGCTAGAGGCTTCATAAGAGGGTTCGTAAACGCGATGTAGAACGGACTATTCCGAGTATAATCCCCCAGCTCGCTTCTCACAACAGCAAAAATAGCTTCGGTGGCTTGTTCTTGGACCTTTGGCGCATTTTTTGTTTCCTCCCGAAGCTCAGAATCGCTGACGTTCATAGGTAAAGCGCAATCCCACCCTGGGGCTAGACTCGTAGGTTTATGATCTCCCAAGGCGCTTACTCGGGAGTCGAAGAGGACAAGAGACCACCAGAGTCGTCGACGCATTTCTGCTTCTAGAACGCTGCTTCTGGCGTTGATGTTTTCGCTCTGGAGACCCATTCGTTGAGCGATGCGCATTGCGACGGCGAGCATGGATGAGATGGACTTTGGGTGGCTAGCTGAGCGAACGGAGACCTGGATCATTTAGCGGGTTTGTAAGACTCCGTGGGGCAAATAGCTTACGAGATAGAGGAATAATGCAGTCAAGCACTCTCGACTACCCGTACGGAGAAAGTTGCTGTTTGACAACGCCTGCTGACAACCGAATTGAAACCTCGTAGAGAGCTCTTCCTTGGTCTGTTTGAACATGTTCTGACACTCCTCAGGAGTAAGAGTGAGTATAGCCATACAGTAGATACCAAACATGAGAGCTTCAAGAGTTGAAGGGACTTCTTTGAGATTCGACGCAGCTTCGACAATGCGACCTTGGAGGGTAGGTGTATGCGTGACCTTTAGGAGAGGGTTGACATTGTCAAGGTATACCTGCCAGAGCCTAAAGAGTTGAGCAGGTTCTGGGTGAAGAGTATAGAGCTCGACGGCTGTTTGACGGGAGCCGAAAAGCATGTGTTCATCATTGTTGTAGGATTGATCTTGGGCGTGGCTGATGGCTGTTTCGAAGAAGCTGTCATTAGGGTCTCGATACTAAACCGTGGTCAGTAATGTTTATGATGCGGAATTGTTGTGATCTTATTACCCCTTGGCGCATTGCATGCCAAATGTTCCTATACTTGTCAGCTCAAACTCACGACGTTGTTGAGGACTTCAACTCACTTGACCTCAGCTACACCCTCGTCCCTGCCCTGTGACGCCTCCTCATCCCTGTCGGAGTGATAATCATTCGGCGAGCTCTTCTCGGACCCATGATCATCATGAAGCGGGTCAAATTTGACATTATTCTGCTTCATCAACGCCTCATACCTCCTCAGCCTATCCAACAACTCACGCTCTGGAAAACGCCGTCTTCGTTGCCGGGGCTGAGTAGCTGGGACACACTGAACCCCATGTTTGACACAGTTTGAGCAGGGAAACGTGCGGTCGCATTTGACCTTGCGTTGTTGGCAGAGAACGCAGGCGAGGACCCGATGGGGCTTGGGTTTTGAAGAGTCTGGGGTGGACATGGTGACTTCGGGACTTTGGAAACCCGAGGGATACGTTTTTTCGTATAAAAGTCGAATTCCCTTTGGGAGAAGGAGGTGGGTTTATTATGCAGGTGACGAGCTGGGCGTCGAGACTTTTCGTATCAGAGGAATGTGTCGGGCTTTTCTATGTCCCGAGACATCCCCACTTTTGTGCTTACACGCTGACCCGTGAGGTTATCTCGGTCTTTACTATTGTCCGACTACCAATTTTGAAATCACGCCTGCTCGTTATGGCAATCAATTGGGCAATCCAGGAATAATGCTCATCGCCCAGGGTATAATATTGAGCCGTATTACTTCTCATGAGATGCTCAGTCCCGATGGTGTTGGCTTCGGGACAAAAGACTTACCCGGTAGTCATTTCTATGGATAAAGGTGTGGAATCTTCATTGGATAGATGGAATCACTAGGAGATATTTACAATATTTGCGAGTATATTGTCAATCTTGGAGAAGTATGGAGGAATAGCATGGGTTTGATGTATGAATAACGTAAGACATACGTATATCAGCGTCACAATAACTCTGACGTCAAGACTATGATGCATGCTGAGTGACCCCATGGATGTAGAAAATAGTTTCATGCCAACCACATCTCAAACAACACCTTGATAGTTAAAATTTCCTCTGTCGTCTGTAGTTCCTTCAGTCACGCTTTATCTCTGATTCGTCAATCAACTAGGCGTATCTTACTTATCAGCCACCATGCCCAGCTATACCGGAAAATGCGTTTGTGGCAGCGTCAAATACAGCGTGTCATTGGACTCGCCCGATGACGCACGAACTTCACTTTGTCATTGTGGAAGTTGCAAAAGGTCATTTGGAACTAATTTCGGCCTTACCACAAAAGTATATCAACTTCTCTTAACTCAAGTAACCTATAGCTGATCATATCCAGGTCGCACTTGATGGTTTCAGCTACGACCAAGGCAAGCCCAAGACATTCAAGCAGGAGAACGGGGTAGTCCGAGAGTTTTGTGACAATTGCGGTGCTTTCATTTGTGAATATGGCGTAAGCGCAACTCTTGGACTTCTCTGAATGCATGGACTGATTTGATGATAGGAACAAGCCGCGGACAAGTTCCGATACATCATGTGGGGTACTTTTGATGAACGAGAAAGGTTCCCTCCCAAAGGAGAGTTCTTCTGCAAGTATAGAGAGACTTGGATGCCAGAAGTACCCGGTAAGTCGATTCATCCTGTGTCGAATGGGATACTGACATTCATGTAGATGTCTTTCACAAGGATGAGATCAAGGACTAGGCAAAGTAGCCAGAATGAGCTGCCGATATTCTGATCATGGCTATCAAGATTTACTAAATTTCATAAGAAGTAATTTTCAGGATCATCCCTTCCGTTTGGTGTCACCGTCTCCTTGACCGCTGTATACTGCTGGAAAATTGTCGAGCAACACATGCGATGCTTACTACGTTCTATGTTCCTAACAAAGGTTCAGACTATCTTAATCTTCTCCCAAGTAACTTCATCAGTAACAGCCTCTCCCTGCATAGCACCGTGTACGTATGCCTCTCCAGTGAGACAATAATCATTTCTCTCTCCAGATCTTCTCAAAACCAGCGGAGCAGGGGACCCGGAGATAATCCAAACCTCATCCCCGGCTTGAGTCGATTCATGTCCCATGCCCAAATACCCCGTGTCAGTGAGGATGACTCTGCGATTAATCCATGTCGACGCCATGATATTGCCAGGTGGCATAGCATGCTTTGACAGTGGTTCCATGAGTTTCTGGAGCTCCTCCTCATCACAGCCGTCACTATCTTGAGGTATAGTGTCCAAGCTGGCACAAAGGGATCTGACGAGCCTTGTGCTGGGAAATATGCTGTCTGGGAATTTGGCAGCTATTTCGTCCAGGTAGGCCATATCACTAATTGATTGGAGAACCAGAGCATGGCCGGCGGAGGCTGACTCTGCTTCCTTGAACACATACTGTAGCGCACGTACGAAATTATGCGCAATGGCCCTCTGGAAGTCCTCCAATCGAATGAGCTTCGAGGGCCTATTTGTGAAGTCAGTATCCCAGATCATAGTTCTCCAAAGAACCTCGTCTGCCTGTTGGTTTGTATATGTATAGGTCTTATCCATAGTAAGAAGAATTTCGCCAAGCATACTGAGACGGCCTTGAAGGCATTCAAGAAAAGTCTCACCAATCTTTTGGACTGTGCCGAGACGAAAGCCAAAGACGTTAAGGACCTTTCCAGAGATGGTGAAGGGATACTTATTGGGAGAGTGGGGAATGTGTTTCGAAGAATTGAGAGTTCCAAGAGATCTAAAGTTTGGCCCATGGACACTATTGTATAGAACCGGTGGATAGTCAGGGACCCAAGACGGAAGGCCTGGTGTTTCTCGCACGCTGGGGTCTTTGACTAGGCTAAGGTAGACAAGAGAATCAGTCGTCTCGATGATGTTGCAGGCGATGATTCGCAGCAAGTCTTTGATTTCGATATCGTAATCTGGCTCAAACACCAACGGCAGAGACACGCCCTCTTGAGCTGCCATATGCTTCAAGATACCATTCCACCCGTAGATGGTGTCCCTACGATCTGTCGCCTTCATTCCAAAGGTTGAGAACAGCACGCGAAGGGGAACCATCGCTGCGGGATTTGCATGATGCTTTGCGAGGCCAGCCTCCAGATCAAGCATAGCAAGGACACCAGTCCACGCACTTTTCTTGCCCTTGCACCACTCACGAAGTAACTGGATCCTCTCGGCATGGAAGATATTGATACCACCACGAAGGTGAATACCAGGCCTGTCCTTAGGAACCAGGTCCACTACAGATTGGAAAAGCCCGCTGTAGTGCAGAAACGTCGCCGTGTAGCCCGCGTAGTCAAAGCACGTGAATCTGCCATTACATAGAATGACCACGTCGCTGGTGAGGGATACTTCCTGGATGATCCAGATACGGGTGAACCAATTACTCATGTAAAGCGCGACCAAGCCAATAGCTTCTTCTTGATCAATAGGATTCATGCCATAGCGCTCCGGCATGACTGACAAGTCAGAGCTGAAATCCCAGCTCTGCGTCCGCATCATACGAAGCGTCTCAGGAACAGACGCAGCACCGAGTCTCTCGACTACTCTAAGTCCGGCCTCCAGCTCGGGGAAGGTACTCCCAAGCCAGACAATGACGCGGTTTGCCTTTCCGTAGATCTGGTTCATGACGGATACTTGTGGAGATCGCTCGTTGGAGTTGGACTGGTTGATGCAGAGCGCGTCTATCCAGATGGGAGTCTCTGAGCACGAGACCTGCAATTCAACAAGAGCATCATAAAGGTTCTCCTGGACCTCGAATAATAGCCCATTCAGAAGTATCGTTGTGTTGGCAACCTTATCGGGAAGTGGGGGGCTGTTTCGCGGTGAGCCCCAAGTGTAAGACAGCGCATTGTAGGCTAGGTCTGAGGCACCGAAGAGGAGGTGTTTCGTGAGGGTGACACTGGGGACTTGAGATTCTGTGTCTGGATGAATGCCCGACGAGATAGTTGCCAGGCGAAAGGACTCAGTATCAAGCTCATCCGAATAGTATTGCGCCATAATTATGAGCTGTGATGCAGAACGCAGATCAGAGGGCACAGAAGAGGGGTAAAAGAGCCCTCGATTCCTAGGATCAGAAGAGGAGGTGCTAGTAGCCTTATAGGGCGACCCAGGGTCTTTTTGACATCCCCTGCCTAGCCTGGGTTCTAATCACCAGTGAAATACAATGAAATCGGGGAATAGTCGGTCAATTGTAGAGCCTTTTCAGCCAATCGCCCCCTATGAGAAGGTATTAGTAGCCTGGCTGGGCTTAGTGGTAGGTAAGCAGTCCAATCATAGTAAGCATAGCTTTGATAGATACCTGATGGGAGATGGTAAAAAGTGGGTAGACGGTTTCTCTATGTAACATTGAGACGTTTCGCAATTTTTGCTTTAGCCTATTCAGGAGCACGTGAGTAGTATTTATTCTTCTGAAGTTGCAACGCCACGCGGTTAGTGAGAATTTGTTAACACGTGTAGAAACATCGGTGGTCTTATCAGAAGATTGGATATGTGACATTCTTGCACGAACTATAGTCTTGATAACAATGAACTAGCGAGTAAGATAGCAGACACTTTCAGCATAAACATGAAAACAAACTAATAAAAAGTTACAATAGACATGGAGCCCCTCGACGGCCTAAACATCTTTCATAATAAACTTCTTGTAGGCATTCTGCAGTCGACGCCAGTTAGTATAGTCTCAAGAACTGCAGCAGAATAACAAAAAATGTCCCAACATACCTCGAACTTTGAATCTGATTTGTCTTGATACGCAATACCGGTGTACTCAGTGTCAGGTAGATTAAGCTCCCACTTCTTGACAACCTCATCATCAACCCGAAACACAACCTCTCGCATCGCATCACCCCAATTAAAGGTCATCCCAGCCATCTTTCCGGCCCACGGCCCCTTCACATCCCACTTGACTAGCCGCGCTCTACTCAGCGCACTAGCGAAAGTAACGCTATTCCAGTCAAAGTTCCACGACACCCAGCGCATCGCGTCCTCTGCAGCTTTGGGTCTCTTGTCAATCTGTGCGAAGCCGATTTCCTCCTTTGGGTCCTTTCGAGGGAGCATTGCGGCGGAGAAGACTGGGAGGGCTTGGAACGTTGCTTCTTCGGCGGTGGGTTCGGTGTCATCTTGGACGTGGACGCGGAGAACTTTGTCTTGTTCAGACCAGGCCATGCAGAGGGGCAGTGAGGGAGTTGGCTGTTTTCTGTTGGCTGGTTGGGCTATAATGGCAACAGCCCTTTTGTAAACGCCAGTCCATTCCATGATTTCTCGCATCATCTTCATGTCAATGCGCGAGCCACGACTTCCATACTTGGGACTCTTTCGTTTGGGACCATAGTTACTGATTCCGTCAGTAGGAGATCTAATTGTCATAGTAAGGTTACTTACTGGATGGCCACTGCTACAGGAGTTCCATTATATCCAGTCCAGACCACGGAGCCACTCACGCCAGCCTCAGTATACGTCAGATACTCAAGCTGATGCCGTTTCAGTATAGGATTAACGAAGCGTCCTGTACTGCGTGTAGGCGGCTCGCCAGGCTTGGCGGTGGTCAAATAGCTGGAGATGTTGCAAATACCTTCTAGTCGCTCCTCCTCAGCAAGTCTTAAAGCGAATCCAAATGCTGTCTTGGGAGGAGAAGGATTGTTGGTCTTCGGGATCATAATGATACCAAAGTCATCAATGGCAGATTCTTCGTTGGGCTTGGTCGAAAAGACTTTGCTGACCCGTGTATCTTTGTCAAGAATCTCCACCCCTTTGTGTTGCTCCCCTAGATCAGACCACCAGGCTCGAAGGTTTTGGGTTCTTTTGCCGTTTTCATCCATAAGGTTATGACCTGCTGTGAAGATGATAGCTTGGTCCTGGCCAGGAATGTTGACAAAGAAGCCATTTCCACCTTTCTCTGCGATGGATTTCCATGTTAGAGATTGAACAGTCATTGGAAGTCTTCGGATACTTGCCGGCACCGTCTTTGGTAAATCTTAGCTTCGCAACTGCTTGGCTGATAACAGAGTCGCTGATAGAATTGAGACCATAACGAATAGGGTCTTTCTCTCGCTCTCTGCCAACATCTCCGCCTCGACGATCTCGGTGCCAGAGGTTCTGGGGAACCAGCGATGATACCATCTTGTTCTGGCTTGACTGGAGAGAAGCAACAGGCAAATCGAGGATCTATCAGTCCGTTAATCTGACTACGGTGCCAGGTAGCTGGTTATTGACTTGTGACCAATGGCTACTTCAGCGACGAGCACTTCAGCAACTCTATCATTGGCAACGCCCGGCTCGAGGTTGCGTTGATCACAAGTGGACTCAGCTTCACGATGTCGCTGATCATCTACCAGATCCGGAACTTTATTGGAAGCAGTACGACCTCTCCTGTCAGATCAGCAACCTCCTCCATTAGGTATGCACCTAGTGAGCTCAGCTCTGACAAGCTGCCGATCACTTCCCGCATTTAGTCTCTCACAGAATCACTACAACCTCTCAGGCGAGGGCCGTGCCGTACCGGCTATAACCCAACTAACAAGCCGAAATGGAGGTCACCTCACCCATTCGCCAATTATACGGGACTTTGGTTTGCTCAGCCAGCCCTTTTGCATGCCAATTCCTCTCTTCAGGACAGCTGTATGCTCAGAACGGTATCAGCCGACAACATCAGACTTTGTGCAACGTCGCATAAGTAAACGCAACACCACCGTTATCAAGACGGTATTCGACGACAATACGCGTACTGTATGTTCCAAGTTCAAGATATGCAGGGAGTACACGAATGCGGAGAGCTGAAAGGTAGGATGATGTCAGCTTGCAGCATGGAGGTCAAAGCACAGATTATGTCTGAGGCCAGGACACCATCCTAGCTATGCAATTGGATGGACTTTTTGATCGTCAAAATCTTTGCACAGTAGCCTGCAATTAAAGCGGCGTGGTTCTGAGACAACGAGCCATGATGATGGTCTTTTTCGACGCCATAAATTGGAAGGCAATGCCGCGACATCATACTACAGCATAGCAATTGAGTTCTCCGTCCCCCTCTATCACATCATTCATATTACCAACCCTCTTGAGCCTCGACAATTCATCATGAGCGGCGAAATAAGAACCATCGCCCGTGCCCTTCGAGCTGCGGGCCACAACACTCTTCCCAACGGTGACCTCACTTTCCTCCAGGTTCGAGGCCGTCGTCTGATCGAGAGCGTCTATGACGGCGACGAGCTCAAGGACCAGCGAATGGTAGCTAGCGGACTGAGGGAGGGCTCAACAGCAGACTACGCCGTGGCCAAAGACAGGGTGAGTACATCAAATTACATGCGAGCCGCACTACTCTAATATGTGATGAATAGACCTTCGCTGTATACGTCAGTGATGATGGCCTTATCAAGGTCAGTGAGTTTGATGAGGACTCTGAAGAGTGGGATGAGGCCGATCTCGAAGGCCTCGGTGATGTTTCTGTCCATGATGAAAGCCACATCACTGTCGCAGGACTTCCAAGCATGAACCTGGTTCTGTATCAGGCACATGATGGTACTATCAAGACCGTCAAGCACGATAAGGACTCCGATATATGGACTGAGGAGTTCGACATCCCTGGATCCGCGGCAACTGGAACTCCGATTGCTGGGTTTTCAACCGACGAGGCTCTCATTGTGAGCTTCTTCGGGGACGACGGCGAGATCCATGTCCACAGTCGGGACTTTGAGAACGGTGACTGGACTGGTAAGCATAGCTCAATCTCCTCTTTACAACCAATCTGACCTCAGGCAGAGGATACTATTCCTGACTCCTCTTTCGACGATACCGTCAATAGCATCATCGTCGCCAAAGACAAGGATAGCGGTAACTTCGAGGCCTACGTCTTGGCCAACGACACAGTCTACAACATCACCAAGACCGGCTCTCGCGACACCGTCGGCTCTGTCGACCAGAATGGAGACTTTGAGCCCTCCACTAAAGCTGAGTCTGGTGGATGTTACAGCAACAACTGGGGCAACTATTGCGGCTCGTACACCTGCTATCGCGGCTGTAGCTGCGGGTGTGGCCAGGGCTACATGTGCGGTTGCTACAGTTGCGGCTGCGGATGCCCTCGTCCCCGTCATTGCCCGCCTTGTTGGTGATGTTGGCTGCATAGGCTAATATGGATGCTTCGCATTGAGATGCTCCCTTCCTTCCTCTTGGGAGTGTGACATTTGAACTTACATTCACTCATAGATCCTATGGATCAATTCGTTAGTCAGACCCCCTAGTGGGTGCTCAGATAGCAATATACTCAATTTAACTCTAATACATGAACCTTAACTTCTGTGTACAATGTGTCTCCATAGGCCCGAGGCGTGAGCTTGGCTGTTGATATCCGTGGTCACTGCTCCAAAGTTACAGAGACAATAAGTTTCTTAATAGTCAATATACACATCAAGGTCCATAACCTAAAGAATGAGCAATTACAATCTTAACAGACGAGGTTGGAATCACTTCTGATCAGAGCACCATTGAGATACCATTGTAATAAGCACCAAATCCCAACGATCTACAGTTCTTAGTAGGTCACAAACCAGAAGATCAGAATTCAGGCATGTTGGGCACTATCTGCAGACTTTTGGCGACCCTATTACAAGTCGCTCTCATCTTTCGAAGGTCTCTGCTCGAACAAGGACACCATCTGGGATAGTCTGAGCAACTGCCGAAAATACAAACTTCATGATAAGCCAAGCCACGACAACGTTGTCATTAAAGCGGCAAAGCACTGTCTGACAGATACTGTGGTCTTCGTATGACTGCATTGCATGAACGTTGAGGTTGTGTCGCAGTGCATATTGCACTCAATATTGCAACCCAACAAAAGCCGCGTCATCTCAGCCATCAACTTACAGAACCTTGGTGTAAATCTTCAACGGAAACGGACGGTCACCTCTACATCTGTATGTATCGACTTCTACAGCCCGTTGGAGTATCATTTTGTGATAGTGGCGTAAATCTCGAAGCTGAAATGCAGACTGAATATTGATCATGAGACTATCTGCCGAGTCAACCTTTGTGCCATTTATCAGTCCTGGCTATATGCTTCTGCAAGGTCTTTTGTTAGAGACGTTATTATACGAAGCTGAATTGTAAATTGACTTGTCACTCTTGTTCAGCTGCGAGTCGGCCATGCCGTTTCCGAAAGGGTCCAAGGGAAGTATGCGACCTACGAAGAGCTCTAGATTGGCATGTGACGAGAAACCGTGTATTCTAGGCGGTTAATGTCCTCGCGAAATCAGATCACATATATCTCAGTTCTGACAGCTCGTTATTGAAGCACCACTCTTCAAACCCCTCTTGCCGTCACTAAGCCTCTACCTCTTTGTGATTCCAACATGACTGACATTTTTGTCGACGCCCGGAAGGGCTCCCTGACTTCCACCAAACTAGACGCCTATCTAGCCAAACCGGTGGATATCAACGCCCAGGACCCCAAGACTGGCTTCACGGCTCTCGGAATGGCAGCTAAGTATGGACGTCTCTCAGCCGTCACCCTCCTTCTCGACAAGAATGCCTCTCCCAGAGCCATGAGCAAGCCAGGCATGACTCCACTATACATCGCTGCCAACGGTAACGGTGATAGAGTCAACATCGTGAGAAAGCTTCTTGAAAAGGGTGCTCAGGTCGATGAGACCAGCCCAGAAGTCGATAATGATACGCCGCTCATGGTGGCCATTACTCACGCTAGAGACCCTGTTGTTGTGAACATGCTCATCGACGCTGGGGCTTCACTCCAGGTGACCAACACTAAAGGCGAGACGGCAAAAGTACTCGCTGAGCAGTCAGGTAATCCTGCTATTCAGCGTGCTGTTTCCCCACCTGGGCAGCAGATGGCAGGTCTTCCTGAACTGATCAATGCTTTGGTGAACTTTGTGTTGTTCATCTTGGCGTATGTGAACAGTGGAGTCATCAACGGTGTCGTCAAGGGCGTGGTATCCAACTTGTATCATATTGGACAAGCTCCGCCAGACCAGACTTTGGCTCAGGTATGTCATACGAACTAGTCAGCGAGTCACTTTCTAACTGCTGACAGGACTTGGATAATCCTACTACCGTAGATGATTTCCAGAGGGGGGTCGAGAAGTATGTCGAGGATAGTGATCTTGGACAGTTCTTTGCTCCCGGCAATGATTACCTACAAAAGGTTGCAGAAAAAGCAGTCGAGTTGAAGGACGATAGAAGCAATCACCTCAACGACCCAGAGCAGGTGAAAGGACTAGTCAAGCTTGCCTTGTACCAGCCAATCTTCTACTGCGGTGAGCTTCATCCCCTCGTGAATCAAGGAAGCGCTAACTAAACCTCCACAGATGACAGTGGCTCAATGCAAGCCAACATACTCGACGCCAACGGTAACGTCGTCAGCACAAGAATGGAAGCCATGAGAATTCTAGTCCAGCGCATGGCCCGTATCGCAACACGTCTTGTGCCCGATAACTCAGGTGCTCATCTGCGCTTCATCAACAGCGATGATCAGGGCAATGACCTCACTGCTGATCAGATCGATGCTCGTATACAGTTTCAACCAGGCGGCGGTACCAACATCGGCACAAACTTGAAGAAAAAGGCCTTGGAGCCGCTGGTCTTTAAGAAGCTCGATCAGGATGGCAAGTTGGACAGACCGTTCCTTGTTCTCACTATCACGGATGGTGAGCCTAGCCCCGAGCCTGTTGATACGTTCAAGAAGACGATTGAGGAGTGTGGACGACGGCTGGAACAGAAGGATTATCCCCAGGAATGTAAGTTGAGTCCCTTGATCCGTACGAAAGATTATGCTGATGAGGGTGATTAGCAACCATGTTTCTCATCAGCCAAGTTGGCAATGACCCACATGCTGATCAGTTCCTCGACTCACTCTCTGGTGACACTGCAATTGACCGTGTTCTATTCCGTAGTTCTGGTATGCTTGTCACTGCCAAGAAAGGTTCACTAGCTAACACATAATTAGAGCGCCTGCACGAGAAGTATGCGGAGCTTCGTGATAATGAGGCAGACCTCGAAGAATGGGTAAGACTCTTCTCTTCACCAACATATATCGGCGCATTGACTAATCAACAACACTATAGCTTTTCAATATTCTGATGCAGCCTATTACTGGATGAGGATTATGTGCATTCTATAATGTTCGCCTTCTGGGATCGGTGGTCCTGATATGGAGTTTTTCCCAAGCTGATAGTCGCTGTCCTGGTTTCCTTCAGAACTCATATCAATAATGACTATATAGCTGTAGCCTTGTGTCTGAGAAATTGCAGACCAATAAATAAATGTCTCGCCTTATCATAGACCCTGTACAAATTAGCTTAGAAGGGGGGCTTGGCATACTCTGTTCTCCGACGACATCTGCCTCATGATCCTCGCCAATATCACCGCTACTATGCAGCCAATAAGCTTACCCCTAGCAAAAGCTTTTCTCCATTCTCGCTCTAAATTTAAGCTTACCGCTCGTACTACGTCAGTTAAGTGTAAGACTTTTGAGAGTGCCACGCACAGCACAAAATGCTACCAACGACGCGAATCGCCCGAAGGTTTGCCTCACTGACATTCGCAAGATTTCTCGCACAATGGCCACTGAGATTCTTCAAGTGCACGTCTGGATATTTCATGTTTTAGCGTAGTGATAGGTGAACACTTCCACCCAAGAAATTATCATGCAGATTATCAAATGTCCTTGCTGTAATGCAATAATAATACAGTGTCACACTCGCTCCCTGAGCTAGACCTGACCCTATAAAAGTATGCAATTTTCCGATATACAATTCACCCATCTGTCCGTCCTCGCTATGGTTCGATCTATGCCTTGTAGTTCTTCTGAGCCCTCCTTTTATCGATCGGTAGACCATTGGGACCCTCGTTCTCGCGACGGCAGTTAACGCCGGCTTCGTTACCGCAACGGGCAGGGAGGAGACAGCAGCCGTCATTATCGCGGAATACTTCCAGGCCGTCGCTTGCCCTGCCCAGTGAGACGCAGTCTGGGCCATCGGGAAAGCCACAACTGTGATTGCGTGTTAGCAGAGCTGAACTCAATTTGACGGTACAAGTCAAGACCTACCCGTTCTTGGCGAGGACGCCAACGGCGAAGAGAACTGAGACTAAAGCGAATTGTATTTTGTATGTTGGAGAAGAAATGGCACCGGGCCTTGAATGAAAAGATATGAAGGTATATGAAGAGGGTACTGATGCTGAAGAGAATAGGGATCAGAGAATAGCGAGGGCCAATTCATGGGATGCCTTCGATATATTTATATGCTCGACGAAACAAATCCCCTGATTAAGGTAATGATGGCTGTTGTCTTGGCTGAAACAGCGCCTGGTCTGTAACAAGCTTAAAACGCAGGAGTTCTTATGTATGGAACTCCACTAAGGACATAACATTACCAAGACAGGCAATTCTGATATCGTCAACATCCGAGAACTCTTGATGAAACATTGAAAGTAAAGAGTTTCCCCAATTATGTAATATAATTGATAGTTTAGGCTATTTGAATAGTTCAAGAACGCTATTTGTAGGAAGTAGTAATACTTGGGCGTGTATGTACACCCCAGCATTGAAATGAAACAGGTACGGCCTTCCTTGAGCCTTTGGTTGAGCTAGGCTGACATGGGCTGATCTGGGGAGCTGATGTTTGCATCTCGCGCTTTGCCTCGCGATTTCGCAATATTGTCGTCAGTATTGATTCCTCGCTTCTCATCAATATCTCAATCTCAAGAAATGACTCCGTTGGTACGTAGATGGCGTTCCCGGAGATTTTTCTCCGCTCTAACATCTTGCCAAACGTACTCACAGCGTCATAACAGGACTCAATTGCGATGAATGACGAAGGTTGTGTCACTTGAGGGGAGCCAACAGATATAACGACCAAACTTGAGTAAAAGGTACATAGCCATAAGCACTGTTCACTAATTTCTGCATTTTCCCATAAATTCACCAAGGCTGAATATTCTACCCTCACATTTCGATCACCTACGAAACCTCTATAATGTCACGAAATATCTGCATCACCGCCGTCGACGGCAATACCGGCTTTCTCATCGCCGAACTAATCCTCAAACACCGCGACTTCTCACCTAAAGTCTCCTCCGTCGTCGGTCTAACTCTCCACCCCGACTCCCCCAAAGCAAAAGAACTTCAAGACCTCGGCATCAAGATCGTCGCTCACAAGCCCGGCCGTCTCCGTGTGATGGCCAAAACTCTACAAGACACCGGGTGCGACACCATCTGTCTCGTTCCGCCTGCTCACGAACATAAGCTTGAGATTAGTGAGGAGCTTGTCCATGCTGCGAAGAAGGCGGATGTTCCGAATGTGCTGCTTATTAGTTCGGCGGGGTGTGATTATGCGGAGAAGGGAAAGCAGCCGCGACTGAGGGAGTTTATTGATTTGGAGGCGTTGGTTATGGAGGCGAAGGGGGATCCGAATGTTTCTACGGGAACGTCACCTTGTATTATTCGGTAAGTCTGTCCTTATGATTGAAGGGAGAAAGCTAATATGTCAGGGCTGGGTTCTATGCTGAGAACCTTTTGCTATATGCGCAGCAGGCTAAGTCTGAGGGTATTCTTCCACTTCCAATTGGCGAATTCCACAAGTTTGCACCTGTTGCACTTGGTGTAAGGCATTTCTGATACGTTGATCCGGAAGTATACTGAAAGTGTTGTAGGATGTTGCTCAGGTCGCTGCTCATGTTCTGACTGGCAAGGGCAAGCATGGTTTCGATGACCGTCATCGCGGCCAAATGATGGTAGTTACTGGTGAGTCGGTGCTTTCGAGGTCATCTAAGCAACAAGACTGATTGACTTAGGCCCCATGCTCTGCGCGGGCAAAGAGCTCGCAGCCGCAGCCAGCAAGGCTCTCGGAGCCGAACTTCAGTTCGAGAACATCTCCCAGTATGCTTCCCACGAGTCCCATTACCTCTTCTTACTAACAGCTTGTCTCCAGTGCGGAAGCAAAAAGAGTCCTCAAGTCTCAGTCTGACATCGACCCGTCCGAGCAGCAATATCTCCTTGAGTACTACAGCCTTGTGAAGGAGGGTAAAACCAACTACATCTCTACCACTGCCTTCCACGATGTTACTGGAGAGCATCCCACTGAGCCGGAGAACTTCTTCAAGATCTACGAGGGTGAGATGAGGCCAAAGAAGAAGGCCAAGCATGAGCATAAATGATAAACGGTGCCATCTTGAAGGGAAAACTGTCGAAAGCGTTTGCCCAATTCGAATTCTGAGCTTAGTAAATTGACATCTGGTCGGTGCTCAGAATCTGAGACTCTAGAGATTACTGGCGTTATTTATTACTCCTGCAATTTAGTACTCAATGCCTCATTTTACAACGAACTCAAAATATCGGCAGTGATCTCACACCGTATCCTCAACCAAACCAACCAATCATCTCGTATGTCTCTCCCGAACAGCCCGATAGCAAAACCCTAAAACAACCATAAATCCTACCTATCTATCCACCGCCATATCATGCAACGTTTCTCTGCATACGACCGACTCCTAATTATACACTACAGAGAACAATCTTTCGAATATGACGTATAGGACGCTATCTACCTACCAAATAGAGTATATCGTGATCCTTGTATGACTGGCAGTATCAAAAGTGCCCAGCTTCCTGTGGGCGGGGAACCCTGCTTTATCTTACAAGACCTCGAAAACGTCGCACTGATCGACATCGCGGATCACACGTCCGATATTAACGGGTTACATGGCCGAAGTATCAGTAGTACGACATTGATATTTGGAGTATAAAGGTCAACTCAGAAACCCCACTTTCAAATGATTTGTTTGTGGCTGCTTACACTTATCCTCTCCCTTTCCAGCATCTTCGGCTTCTACCATATACTGATGCTACTTACAAAGATGGCATTGGCAGGAAGTCACTTTGGTGGCCAATGGGGCTCATTCGCCATCGCGGGAGACTCTTTCAACCTGTCCATGACAGACCATGCCATCCGCACATGGGCAGATCTCGGCGAACTCGACGAGTTCTACAACATTGACATGGCTCCGCGCAGGTACCAAGCCTTGACGACATACCATAAGAGCGAGCAAGATCTTCTTAGCGAAATGGACTTTGAGCATCTCGATCAAGAAGGCAAAGTCGACTACATCATGCTCAACACATATCATACTCGTCAACTCAACAATCTCGATCTTCAGAAAGCCTCTAAGGAGAAATATGATCCTCTGTTGCCGTTTTCGGAGGATCTTATTCGGATGCTCGAGGCGCGCCAGGATGTCGATCCGATGAAGGCCAAAGAAACAGCTGGTTTGCTAAACAACATCACCAAGTCCATCACCAAAGTACAGACCAAAGTGCAAGACGGTGGTTTCAATGTTACCGAAACAACAGGATATCTTGCGAGTAAAGCCATCACCAATCTTCTTGATCTTTTAGGCGAGTGGTTTGCGTTTTACTCAACATATGATCCCCTATTTGACTTCTGGGTTACAACACCTTGGCAGGCGGCGAATACCTCTCTGACGAGCTATCTCGACGTTGTCCAGACAAAGCTAGCTGGGATGAATCAAAAGGATGGTGAAGATGCTATTGTCGGCGAGCCGATTGGACGTAAAGGACTGGAAGTCGAACTTGAAGCCGAGATGATTCCCTACACACCCGAAGAACTCATCAAGATTGGGAATCAAGAATTCGCATGGTGTGAAAAAGAAATGATCAAGCAATCTGAAGCTCTCGGCTACGGGAATGAATGGAAGAAAGCCCTCGAACACGTCAAAAATGACTATGTCGAACCCGGAAAGCAAACGGAACTTGTCCGCGACTTGGTCGTCGAAGGAAGTCTCTTCGTCACAGAGCGCGATCTCGTCACCATCCCCCCTTTGGCAAACTCAACATGGCGCATGACGATGATCAGTGCAGAGCAACAGAAAGTTTCGCCATTCTTCCTCGGAGGTCCAGTCATTCAAGTCTCCTACCCCGTTTCATCAATGGAGCACGATCTTAAACTCATGGTTATGCGTGGTAATAATAAGCATTTTGCTCATGCGACAGCTTTCCACGAGATGTTTCCTGGTCATAGATTACAGCTCTACATGGCAGATCGGTACAACTCCCATAGAAAAGAAATCTTCGATACACCCTTTT